GCAAGGCAGGCAGCTGATGCAGGACTTGGAGGAGCTGAAAGAGGAGAAGGTGGGAACAGATGCAGGCCTGGCTGTTGCCTTCGGCCAATGAGACAAGTCACAGATAAGCAACAGCTAGCGCGGGGAGGCCACAAAATGGCTGGGGCTCCAACCTCTACCCCGCAATCTCCCATGAGAACTTCTCTTGCGGCCCACCCTCACCAGAAGCGTAGAGGGAGGGGAATGCAGGCATGCATGGGTTAAATGTCCCTTAATCCAGCCGAGTGGACACCTCACAGAGCCACCTCATGGGGTGTTTCAAAGCCGGTTTGATCTCTCCACCAGCAGGAGCTCGCCAGCCACCCTAAAAGCAACACCTCATTGTCACAAGCATTGCAAGTCCCTCCCGACACCCCAAGAGAAGCACAAGGTAGGCCCATGTGAAGAAAGTAGACTCCTTCCAGTTAGTGTGATTTGGCCTCAATTCTTCCAGAACAAGAAGCTTGTCAGGATTGTACTCAGGAGCCTGGCCGCATTACAAGAGCAATTCCATTAGGCCTTGGCAAGCCCTCTCTCCCCTGATGTAAGAGTGGGGGAGGAGGCTGCCGCTCAGACACCACAGCAGAAAAAGGGGTCTTAGGCCAGAAGGGCTTGGGGCAGCAGATGAACAGGAGAGATTCCCGGATGTCTTTTCCAAGTCTGAGGTTCAGCCTTCTGTCCCCTGGAAGTGTCCACAGACTCTGGTCTTAAGAATTACCTTTTCCTTTCATATTTGAATAAAAATAGGCAGAGTCCTCACATCCTTAACTCGGGAGAAACTCGGCCTCCTCCCCACCCCATCAACAAACTCCTTGGGGCTCTTTGTTTTCCATGATGGTATTCGGGGTGTCATGGACTTGAAAAGACTACATTTCCCGATTTCTCTTTGCAGGTAGAGGTGGCCAGTCAGAAGTAAGTAGAGGTCTTTGCGAGGGGATCCCGGGATTCCCTTTTTAAAAGGACGAAACTTACCTAGTGGTGCCTCCCCCTCCACACCTTTTTCTTTCCTTCTTGCTTTTTTTCCTCTGGAATATGACACGATGGCTGAGGCCCCTGCAGCCGTTTTGTGATCTTGAGGATTAGAGCCACATGCTGAGGACGGCAGAGCAGTAATGACACCAAAGGACCCCTTCTCCGGCCCCGGACTATAGCCTCCATCGTTTGCTACGTGACGGAGAAATAAATCACCTTGTTGAGCGCCTGCTGTTTCTGGCTTATGTCTCTTGACATCGAACACGGTTTCCGCTTCCAGACTTCTTGGTATGTGAGATTAATTAATTTGTGGCAATACCCGGTGCCCTCGCTATAAGAAGATGGTAGTTTCCTACCCTCTTGAACTCAAACGTGGTTGTGTGATTTTCTCTGGTCGATGAAATGCGAGCAGATCCCTTCTGGCAGAGGCTACAAGAGCCAGCGTGCGTCTCACCTCATTCTCTCTTCTTTCTGTTGCTGATAACCAGAGACGTTTCCGATGGTGACTTCGTCATCAGCTTAGGTCACATCATTGCTCCCAGCCGACCCATGACGACCATGGGGTGTGATTACAAACAGACCCTTGCTGTTGTAAGCCCCAGAGATTTTGAGATTATTATTGTCACTTTCAAGCAAAAGTGGGTTGGCTTGATACAGGCAATGAGGAGCTGACAAGCTTTTTGGGAAGGCTAGTGGGGTGGGCTCTAGGCTCACTCTGCGAACGATTCCTGGAAACCAGACTATAAGGAAAACTTCGCCTCTACTCCCGTGTGTTGCTTGTTTACCCTCACACTGCCACCACACCAAGCAACTCTCTGTGACACGAGCTGGGTGTCCCACACTTCAATTCGACACTGACCAGACTTAACGCAGACCCCACAGGTTTAGGGCTCTGTCCCATGCGACTGCCCCTCCTCCACCTCTGATGCCAATTGCTGGTAGGTCCCAGGTTACCCACAACTTCTGTCAAACTCGACTACAATTGGGAGGTTCCCATGATTCCCTCACCTCGGATTTGATTATTTGCTAGAACAGCCCGTAGAACCAGTTTATCGCACAAGGAAGGATATGATGAAGGATACAGAGGAACAACCAGGTAAAGAGACACGCAGGGCGAGGTCTAGAAGAATCCTGAGAATGGGAGCTTCATCCCCCGTGCAGCTGGGTGGGTCACCGCCCCGCCAGCGTGTGGCTGCGTTCACCAGACAGGCTGCTCTCTGAACCCTATAACTTGGGGGCTTTTATGGAGGCTTCATCATGTAGGCAGGACGGACCATTAACTCAATTTCCAGCCTCTGTTCCCCCTCCAGAGGATCGGGTGGGTGGTGGGACTGGAAGTTCCATGCTTCTGATCATGAGGTGGTCTTTCTGGTGGCCAGACCCACCCAGGACCCCACCACATTCTGCCTCCTTCGAAACGGAAGATACTCCTGTCACCCAGGAAATCCCGAGGAGCTGTGTGCCAGGAACTGGGAGCAAAACCCAACATACCCATTTCCTAAAACCCAACATACCTATTTCCTATTATTTTCCAATAACCGGACCAACCCACTTGGGGAGCTTCTCTCTCCACCTCGGTGGCGAGGGCCTCCCCCACCGCCGTCCGTGGCACCTTCAGAATCCTGTTGCTCCGTCTCCGATCCAGGACCTGGAGGTCAGCACCGCCCAAGACAGAACTGCCTTTTTGTTTCCAATTTTGTTGTGCTCTGTGTTGAGGTACAACTTGCGTGTGTTAAGCACGCAGGTCTGAAGCGAATGGTTCAGGCGGTGTTGCCGATAGATACCTTCATGTAGCCTGCGCCACCGTCATGGTGCAGGATGTGTCGGGCCTTCGAGGACGTTTCCTCGGGCCTCTCCTCAGCCAGCGCCCCCCCACCCCACGGGAAAGGCAACACGATGTAGTAAAGGCAGCCGTTACTCTGACCATCACTTCTTCTTGCTTATTCCAGAACTTCCTACCTACAAGCGGTATTACACAGTCTGTGCTCTTTGGTATCCGGCTCCTTTCACTCAGGATACTGCGCCGTGATTCATCCGTGTCGCCGTGTGCACCATTGTTTCTCCTGTTCGTGTTGAGTGGTGTCCCATCCAGCACCTGCCAGCTGTGTTCACTCGGTGTGTGTATAATACATCATGTGTGTACACGAATGACACCGCCTCCCGTTGGGGTAGGCATCTGAGTAGCAGATGGTGGATGCCAAGCAAAAATATTTTGAGAATCTCCCCTAGATGCATCTATCACATACTCTATGTGTCACATCTATAATACACGTGTCATACATGTCTACGCATGTACAGAGTATATACCACATGTGTACATATGCCATTTATCGCATATAATACATGCTTGAATTCAATGGATTTATCCTATTTATTTTTTTATTTGAGAGAGAGAGAGAGAGTGCAAGCAGGGGTAGGAGCAGAGGGCGGGGGAGAGGGAGGAGCAGAGGGAGGGGGAAAGGGAAGGAGGAGGAAAGAATCTCCAGGAGACTCTGTGCTGCACGTGGAGCCAGTCACAGGGCTCCATCCCATGACCCTGAGATCATGACCTGAGATGAAACCAAGAGTCAGTCACTTAACTGACTGAGCCCCACCCCGGGGGGCCCCCTCAATGGATTGAATCCTTATGGCTAACTTCTCCTTACATGAAGCCATACTGGTTTTCCATACATGATTGTTCCTTTTAAAATAAATGTATTAAGTTAAAAAAGGAGGTGATGTCTTGAAAAAAGTGAGTAATGATACAGGTAGGATGAAAATGTGCCAAAAATTGAGGAGAGTATATAAAGAGTCAGATTATTTGGGATATATTCTGATATTTTTCTTTTATATTTTATTGTTTTTCTTTCCTTTTTTAAATATTTTATTTATTCATGAGAGAGAGAGAGGGAGAGAGGCAGAGGCACAGGCAGAGGGAGAAGCAGGCTCCATGCAGAGAGCCGGATGTGGGACTCGATCCCGGGTCTCCAGGATCAAGCCCTGGGTTGAAGGCAGCGCTAAACCACTGAGCCACCAGGCTGCCCTGTCTTTCTTTCTTTTTTAAAAAAGATTTTATCTATTTATTCATGAGAGACACACACAGAGAGAAGCAGAGACGCAGGCAGAGGGAGAAGCAGGCTCCCTGCGGGGAGCCCCAGATGGGACTCAATCCCAGGACCCCGGGATCACACCCTGAGCCGAAGGCAGATGCTCAACTGCTGAGCCACCCAGGCACCCCTCTTTTTCTTTTTTTATGCTACCCACAGCTCACGAAACTGATTTCACAACCCATGAATAGGCTGTGACCTGAGGTCTGTGAACTCTTGTTATGCAACCACTTGTGAACAGGACCTCGTGTCTTTACCTTGTCCTGATGGCCCTTACCCAGGCTTCAGAGGGCCTGCTCTGGCTTTATCCAGTTGGGTCCCTCTCCAGGGCCTGCAGGAAGTGCCCACCAGAGCCTGTGGCCCTTCTTGACCCTGCTCTGGGCCCCTGGAATTCCCTGCCCAAACTACCCCGAGCCCCCGTCTCCAGGGCCTGTGTGGCCTTCTTGGTAGGCAGGCCCCTACACCGAGAGGTGGCCCAGAGGCAGTCACTTCGGCATGGGGTGTAGATGGAGTCTGGATGTGTGGGCTGGGGTGTCCGCACCCATGTGTGAGGCCCCTCATGATGGTGGAAGGATCTGGAGTGTGAAGAAAAGTGGACCGCTGGGAGGCCCAGAGCCAGTTACCGATACCACCTCCCGATGGGAGGGGTGAGCTCCCTCGGACACCAGGCTCTGCACACGCTCAGGCCAAGGGGCCCAAAGTGCCGGGGGCAGAGCCAGCGCAGACGCTCCCACTGGCCAGAGTCCTCCACGGCCTGCCCTCCCATCCCTCCTGCCTCACACCAGCCAGGCTGTGTTCACTGTGACCCCGTCCTTGGCTGTTGAGTCTGTGACCCCTCCCTTTATTCCTCAGGGCCCCTGTCCCCGTCCTGGCTGCTTCTTCCCGCCACCCCACCCCCCAGTCATGAATGATCAGAGACCACGGGCAAGGACCACAGTGCTTTACTTTTCGTCTGAACAGGATGGGTAATTGGGGGGCAGTGCCCAGGGAGCCGGGCAGCCCTCAGGGTGGGCAGGGTGGGGAGCAGAGGGGCCTCGGGCCGTCAGCCCCGGCTCTGGCTCCATCCGGGTCTTCCCTCCCAGGCTGGGCTTTACTGACTATTCTGTAGGAGAGGGGAGGGAGGAGGCTGGGCATGGTGAGCTGGTGAGGACTCAGTCCTGGGGTGCCCATCGATGGGGTTGCCGGCCCCTACTTCCGAGGGCCTCACCTGTTATAATTCCGACATAACTGGGGTAACCGCCTACATTTGCCACCTGTGGGTGAAGGAAAAGGTTCCGTCATGAGTCAACAACATTCATCACTGCACGCTCTGGGTGCTGGAGACGAGGCCCATCAACCCCGCCGCTCGGGAAGCTCCAGGGCAGCCTCCGCAACCCCCCTCCGCCCCCAGACACACAGGAGCCCTTTGAAAACCCAGCCTCGCTCGTGTGTCACTCATTCATCCAGCGAACATTTACTATGTGCCCACTATGTGCCAGGCTCTGGTCTCAACCCTGGGAGCCAAGCCGGGAACAGGAGTGAATCAAATCCCTGTCCTGGGGGAGGTGACTTTCTAGTCGAGGAGATGCTCGGCAATGAGAAAAACGACTCCGTCAAGTGTATGGACAGTGTCGTCAGATGGTGACGCGTGCCAGGAAGGAGGCAGGGAGGCCCAGGGACCGGGGGCATCCTCATGGCGCTGGCTACAGGGGCCTCACTGAGCAGGGGACTTTTGAGCACATTGAAGGAGGTGAGGGGGGAGCCACGCAGACATCTAGAGGAGGGGTGTTCCCTGGAAAGGCAGAGGGAATGGCCAGTCCAAAGGCCCTGAGGTAGGAGGAGACAGGGGGGCTTAAGGCACAGCAGGGGAGTCAGGGGGGCTGCACCAAAGCCAATGGGGGGGGCATTTCGGAAGACAGGTCACCTGACTGTCGCCCCTGCCTCCTCACCTCTTTCTACTCCCCGCCGAGCTCACACGCGGCCCCAGCCACCCCGGCCTCTTCCTGTGGTTATTGCAACACGCTCAGCTCACTCCTGCCTCTGGGGCTTCGCCTTTGCTGCTCCCTTTACCTGTTTTCTTAAACCGTCTTTCTCACCATCAAGAATGACTTCTGATTCGATCTCTTTAGAGGGAGTGTCACCCCCATCCCTGTTGGCCTGTCATTCTGCTGTATCTTCCTTACAGCAATGACCTCTCAGCGTCCACTCCACTCGGTCACGCACTTAGACTGCTTACGGTCAGCCCCCCACTGGCTGCGAGGTCCCCGAGGGTGGGGACCAGGGCACAGGGTGAAGACAGAGCAGGTGCCCACGAACCATTGTCACCAGAACGATTTATGGCCCCAGAGCTCATTTCGGGCTCTACACCCACACAGACCCGGGTCCAGTCCTTCCCAAATTTCTGTGTGCCATCTGGACAGACCCCTCCGGTCTCGGAGCCTCACTTTTCCCACAGCGGTGGGGACAGGGCAGGGGGTGCAGACAGGGACCCGCACACAGTCGGGAACAAGGAACAGGTGTTTATGACTGAGGCTACGGTACCCTGGCCCTGGATTCTGCGCTGCCGGCAGGCGTTAGGGACCTCTTCCGGGGGCTGTTCGTGCCCCCCACCCCCGCCCTAGACAAAATAGAAGCTGTGGCGTGTGCATCCTCCTGATGGCGGAGTTGGGCAGGAGCGGGAATAAAACTTGGTGTAAAAAAAGGCTTCACTGAGAGCTCGCAAACTGGCGGCCTGCGTGTTCCAGTTAATCAGCAGCATTTTAAAGGCTGTTTTAAAAATTAGTTTTTCTGCGTGTTCTTCTCTCCGTGCCCCCATCCGTCGGGCAACACTGGCCCCACACAATGCTGCCCCTGCCCCAGCATGCGACGGCATCCCCTGGCCCCTGGCCTTCTAGCCGAGCCCCGGCAGGGTGGGGGTGACCCCCCTGCCCCCGCCACCCCTGCTCCCTCCTGGTGGGCTTACAGTGGGGCGGGGGCTGGAGCTGCAGCTCCTGCTGGGGGGGCCCCTGCCTATTGGTCTGTCTCCCAGCAGTCCCTGGCGTGGTCGCTGCCTCCCGTCACCTGTCACCCCTCCCAGCTGCCGGGACACAGCTCTCCGTGGTGGGGACCCTGCGAACAAGCCCAGGGCGGCCTCTTGGAGCGAAGACTATGAGGTGAACGGCCCACGCACCCACAAAAACAGAGCCCCCTGCCGACCCGTGCCTGAGCCCAGGTGCCTGAATAAACCCAGCTGGGACCCCAAGAACCAGCCAGCCGCACCCCGCTGACATTTCCAAATTGCACACTTGAGAGCTAAGCAAACGGTGATCATTTGAAGCCACCGACTTCTGGGTGGTTTATAGGGATCTGCAGCTAATATGTGTCCTTTAAAACAACTCTGTCCCGGGCGCCTTCAAGGACTGAGCCCTCCGTCAAGGTGCCAGGGAAGGCCTCCTCGCTCCCGATCTCGGGGTCCCGGGGTCCACCGCCCGCCCCCCCCAGCCCCGGTTCTCACTCGTGAGGATGACAATGCCTGTGATGAACAGCACAGCTGCGACCAGCAGCCCCCGCTTCCGGAGAGTGTCCTCGTCTGCAGAGGGAAGAGCGGAGAATGGCAAGAGCTGCCTCCCTGCCTCCCGCCTCCCACATCCTCCGGGGGTAACTCACCGTAGGAGAAGGGGTCGTCCTCGCTGGAACCTGGGGGCACAGACAGGGAGCAAGTCAGAGTTCAGCAAAAATTGTGGAGGGAGGGGATCCCTGGGTGGCGCAGCGGTTTGGCGCCTGCCTTTGGCCCAGGGCGCTTTCCCGGAGACCCGGGATCGAATCTCACGTTGGGCTCCCAGTGCATGGAGCCTGCTTCTCCCTCTACCTGTGTCTCTGCGCCTCTCTCTCTCTCTCTCTCTGGGACTATCATAAATTAATTAATTAATTAATTAATTAATTAAAAAAATTGTGGAGGGAAGCAGTGGATGGCAGAGTCGGGGGCAGGGGTGGGGGTAGGGGTGCAGCTTGGGCCTCGGCCTTGGGCAACTTAGAACAAAAGCCTCCGTGGCACACCCCGTGGCTCCCACCACCTCCCCACCTCAGCTCCTCACTCGCCCGCTCACCCAGATGCTCCAGCCCCACTGGCCGCCCTGCTGGTGGCCATGCCCGGCCCCTCTCACCTCAGGGCCTTTGCACTGGCTGCTGCCTCTGCCCGGAACACCCCAGCCCAGACATCCACGCGACTCCCGCTCTGCTCCCTCTCAGGGAGGTCTCCCTGGCCCTTTATGGGAAATACTCTCCAGTCACCTCTGACTCTAATGCTGCTTCATTTATCTTCAAAGCAGCTTTAAAGCACCTGATACATAATTCTTATGATTATGACTTATTGTCTCTAATGCCCCCCACCCCACCAGAATGTCTGCTCCACGAGGGAAGAGATTTTGGTCCATCCTGTTCACTGCTGTATCTCTGGTGCCGAGGACACAGTGGGTGCTTGAGAATGTGTCATGAATGAATGAATGAATGAATGAACTCTCTTTGTGACCCGTGGACGTGTCATTCTCATCCATTCAGTGGGGTTGGCTGGGCAGGAAGCAGAAGGTAAGACCACGAGGGGACAGATCAAGGTGTCCCTGAAGCAGAGCTCCCTGCTGGCCCCCCAAACTGATCTCAGGCGCAGGAGTAGGTCCAGCTGAGACCAGAAGAACCTCTCGACTGAGCCCAGACTGAACTTCCAAACTCCAGACTCGGGAGCTCCAGACTCGTGGTTGTGCTCCTAAGCCGCTGCAGTCATGCGTGGATTCATTCGTCTATCCGGAGACTTTTTGGCTGTCTACCTTATACCCCCACCCCTCCAGCCCTCAAGTCACGTATCCACCTGACACATGGTCACGGAGCACTAGTTCACGCCGGGCAGGGTTCCAGGTGCCAGAAACACACAGAGAATAGGAAATAGCCTGTTTCCAGTCTGGGAAGAGAGTTACTGACCAGTTGGCTCGAGTGGGGGGTCCCGCCTGATGTCTCTGCCTGGAGACTGTCTCTTGGAGAGCGTGGTGCCTTTGGTGGGTTCAGGAGAAGGAGTTGCTAAAAGGTAGCAGAGGGTGGAAGTGAGTCGTGGAGGAAACACGGGATGATGGGGACGATGTCGCTGCACGTGTGTCCCCAGGAGACACTCCCGTCCACGTCTACACATGCAGGGGGCAGGAGCAGTATCCCCCCCCCACTCCTAACCTGGGCGCAGCGGGGAGATAGGTGTGGAAATATTGACCAGCCTGCACCCCCTGGTTAAGACCAGCTGTCCCGTCCCCCTGGCTCCTCCCCCAGGACCTCCTGGGCTGCCTCACAATGGGAGAAGCAAAGGAGAGTGTGTGTCTGAGCCAGGCAGGGGGCCCCCAGGACTCCCCAGCACTGGGAGACGCAGAGCCTAGGGGTACTGGTTGGTTGTAAAATACTTTGTAGGTCACTTCTGCTCCCAGACCAAAAATACTAGACGGTTCCTCTCCTTTAAAAAGTCGATGCCACGGGGCACCTGGGTGGCTCAGTGCGTTAAGCATCTGCCTTCAGCTCAAATCACGATCCCGAGGTCCTGGGATCGAACCCGACATCGGGCTTCCAGCTCAGCAGGAACCCTGCTTCTCCCTCTCTCTCTGCCTCTCCCCCCACTTGTGCTCTCTCTCTCTCTCTCTCTGTGTCAAATAAATAAATAAAATCTTAATTTAAAAAAGCCAATGCAGGATCCCTGGGTGGCGCAGCGGTTTGGTGCCTGCCTTTGGCCCGGGGCGCGATCCTGGAGACCCGGGATCGAATCCCACGTCGGGCTCCCAGTGCATGGAGCCTGCTTCTCCCTCTGCCTGTGTCTCTGCCTCTCTCTCTGTGTGTGTGACTATCAAAAATAAATAAAAATTTAAAAAATAAAAAATAAAAAAATAAAAAAGCCAATGCCCCAAGGAAAATATCTGCCCTGCTGACACTGAGAAGTGTTCCCAGTGAAGTGGTCACCCCTGTCTGAGGCCCCACTATGAAGCCAACAGGCAGAAAAACTGCCTTACAGAGCCCAGGCTCCCAGGCCAATCTCAGCACCTCACTTTTTTTTTTTAAGATGCTATTTATTGGAGAGAGACCGAGAGCACTGAGCAGGGCAGAGGGAGAGGGAGAGGGAGAAGCGCGCTCCCCACCTCCACGCCGAGCGGGGAGCCTGATGCGGGGCCTCCATCCCAGGATTCTGAGACCGTGATCTGGACCGAAGGCAAACGCTTGACCCACTGAGCCCCCCAGGCGCCCCAGCACCTCACTCCTTAAGTATGAACTGAAGGCAAGGATCCCGAGATGTTCAGCTGGAGGAAGGCTCGAGCCAGACAGTGAATGCAAAGGACAGCCTGGGTGCTGCGTGGTGCTCAGGCACGCTGGCCCTAGAGAGCCTGGGCTCAAACGCTGGTTCTGCCGCTCCGGGCTGTGTGGCCTAGGGCGGCACAGTAACCTCTCTGGGCCTTCGCTGCCCTCCTGTAAATTGTGGAACCAACAGTCCCTCCCACGCGAGGGGTGGGGGACAGTCCCTCCCACGCGGGGGGGCTGGGAACCATGAACCATGAACGAGTGAGCAGAATGCTCACTCTGGGCAAATGCCTCCTGTCGCTGTTACCATGGTGCTGGCTCTCAGGCCTCCCTGCTTCCAGAAGCATCTTCCTCTTTCTTGGGGGGGACCGCTCCCCCCCTCCCACCCCCCCCAACGGCCTCCTGGGTCTATCAGAACGCAGGCCACAAGGGGGAGCTTGTGACCCAGTCTCCTTCTTCCCTGGGACCTTCCAACTTCCAAGTAGGCATGGGAGACACAGCTGGGCGAAGTTGGGGAGCTCTGGAGCTTGCCCCGGGGGTGGACACGGCGGGAGGGGGGGGCAGGAGCCAGTTCCTCACCAGGCAGGAGACAAGACCCAGCACCAGAGAAACACAGACGAAGGAGGGAGAGAGGCACTGGGGGCGGGCGGTCCTGCCCAGGTTCTGGGTGACCCCAAGGCTCCTCAATGGCTTTTACCACTTGGCTCCATGACACCCCTGCCCCCGGCCCACTTGAATGCCTGTCACGTGTAATCAGGAACACGATATAATAACACAGAGTGACTCCGTGCTATTATCAGGACTCAGGTCAACCAGGACTCACAGCAAGCAAAGATGTGAGAAGGTTTTCTCAATGGGGAGGTGTGGACACAGTCACCGTCCCCTCACCTTCCCTCTTTCAGAAAATAGAAAAGAGTTCTTCTCCGAGACGCTTCGTTTCTATCTGTTGTGAAATTGTTTTAATAGACAGGCTCTGTCCGAATTAGGGGCTTCACTGCCATCACTGGAAAACTATAACAAAGATAAAAATCCACGTGGGGGATGACACGGCCTTAGAGGTGATGGTCTTGTGCAGTGCCCAGTCTGCACAACTGTGCATACATGTCAGCCTGGGAATGGCCCAAGCTACAGTACTTTCCAGTAGGGGCTACTCCTCAAATATGAGTCAAAAAGACCTTGGGGCCACCTGCTGCCTTCCCCTCTGGCTCAGCTTCCTTTCCCATGCCTCTAAAATGTTAACTACTCGCTGGTCCCAGGGAGAACTACCTCTTCCCTGACTCCAGGTCTATGCCGTTCAGGCATAGCTGATCCTGCTCTCCAGCCTCACAGTGGGCACAAGACTCAGGCCTAACCAGTCAGAGCAGTCCATGTCCCCGGCTCCCCCGCCACCCCCAGCCAGACGTGGGCGTGTGACCCCAGGTGGGCCAATGACAGTCCATTAAACACCTTGGGCTAGAGATGAGAAAGAGAGGTGCTCTACCTGCTGGGTGTGTGACCTAAATAGAACTATGGGACTATCTGTGCCACCAAGAGAACTTGAGGATGTAGATAACAGGGCTGAGAGACAGAGCAAGCCAGTTATGATGACAGTGCTTGAGCACCTTGATCCAGCTGTTCCTGAAACCATGATTCCGGATTTTACAGAACATATATAGCCAATGAATCTATTTTAGCTTTAGTTGCCTTTGCAGTATTTTGCAACCGAAAAGCTCCTGCTCTCACGTGAACAGGTACATGAAGGAAAAAAACCCACACCCACATTTCCAAGGCACCAGCCCTATAAAGGAACCTGAATGAGAGTCCCAAGTCCAATCAGGTTTGGGGAATGCTTGCTGCAAATAAGCATTAATAAGACTCCAAGAAGTCCTGCCACAAAGAAATGTGTTTAACTTTAACTCAGAGTTTCCCTTGGACCGCAAAGCAAAACAGATGTCTCGAAAATGTATTAACAATTCCCCAAACGGGTGCTCCGAGAAATGTGCTCGGGGAGCTGCTGACCCAGATAGAGAATTAAACAAAATTTGCATGTTGCCCTTCTAGTTCCAGGGCCTACCTCTCAGGCTGCTCTTGCCCGTTGTCATCGTCACCATCGCCTGATCTGCTGCTAGAAGCTCGGACGTTTCCGTGGGTTGTGGGGTCTGGGTCCCCTCCATCTGCTCCTGTGTTGTTCCTACTTGGGTTGGATGAGCGAGGGGAGGGTGAGCAACGAGTGAATCAGGGACACTCAGGTCCACAAAACAGCAAGGGGCCCTCTCCCCTCCCCAGGCTGGTGAAAATCAAAGCCGTTCAGGCAGCAGGTGTCACTGCCTGGGTGGAAAAGGGGGGGACGCGGTGGCCCAGGGCTGGTGGTGGGGCGGATCTGTGCAGCCATTTCCCAAGTGGCTTCGGAGACAGGTTTCAGCATTTGTCTCCTCCCCCTCCCCCCCCCCCCCCCCCCCGCCCCGCGTCGTGTTGTGGGTGAAAGCCAGGCCCTTGGGCCAGGCTCCAGGGTGCCGGTCCCAGCTGTGCGTCCCTGACTTGCTGAGACGCCTCGAGTGAGTCACTCCGAGCCTCTGTTTCCCTGTCTGTCAAGTGAGGTTGCTGCACCTCAGCGGGTTTGTGTGGGGATCGAATGATCCCCCAAACACAGGTAAGACATTGGGAACCGCGGCCCAGGTACAAGAAGTGCTTAGAGGCATTTGCTCAGGGAGCGGGGAGCGAGGTTGCTTATTGTGGCAACAGGTGCAGCAGAGGAGACCAAGATGTTCTGGAGCTGGGCATGGTTTCACCCCCACGCACGGGCCCCCGCACACCAGCACACGGGACGCGATCAGTGTTACATGGGAACTGGAAGGAGCCCCCCAACATACCCTTGCACGGGGCGGGTGGAGAAAGTTGCAGGACAGCAATCATTTTGCAAATGACCGGCTCACAAACACATACCGCCGGCCAGCATAGTTTCTGCCCGCAATATCCAGGTGGCACAGCACCACTGGGGGGCCCCCCCAATCCGTTGCTCGCAGTTGGGGCCTCTTAGAGACCAGAGTGGGGAACGCAGCAAGGGATTTCATCTCGCCTATATGAATTTTATTACTTCCAAGCAGAACGTGTTTCTAGACGGCTGTATCGTTAAATATTGACGGAGAAAATCGGGGAGCCCTTTTTTGAATTCCGTTATACTGCAAGAAAGAGTTCAAAAGTGGTCTGAACACTCAAAAAGGGGAAACGATGCAGAGATGCAAGGAAGGCAAGAATGGCCTCGGCACATGGCGGGGTTGTAAAGCTCCATATATGTGCTGTGAGCTGGGTGCTGGTTACACGGCGGTTCAGGTTAGGGTTTTCTCTGAAGTTGTACATTTATGGGGGGGGTTTAGGGGTACTTTTCTATATGCGTATTATTTTTCATGCTTTTGGAAGATTTGTTTTGAAAGACGTGGATGTGGGCGGCTGGCTATCCCACCACAAAGTAAACCGGAGGATTCAGACCTGGGGAACTGAAATGAGTAACTAAGGACCCAGAGTGTTGGGGGAAGAGGGGGAGCAGTGTCTGTCCTGGGCCCACGCCGCCCCCGCCCACCTCCCCTGCCCCGCTCACCACCAGTCTGCAGGCCCATCCGAGGTGTGGACTGGGGGTCCCGATGGACTGTGTCTGGAGTCCGCGAACAGGGGGAGGAGAGAGAGACAAGATGTGGAGAAGGTCCGTGGATGGAGAAACAACTCAGTTTTGACATCATCGAAATGACTTCGTTAACCGAGTCATTCGCTAACAGCCCAACGGCCCTGCCCGCGCCTCAGACCTCCCCTGCCTCAGCCATCCCGTCCCGCAGAGGCACTCTCCCCTACTCAGAACCCATCCGCCTCTGGGAGGAGCCCCTGGAACTTTCTTTATGAACCACCCTTCCCTGGCTCTGTGTCCACTCATGCACTGAGGCTGGCACCAGCCTTGGTGGAGGTTGAACCTGAGACCCGGGTCTGGCCGACCGGCTTTGGCCTGTGGCCACAACGATCACCTCATGGTGGGACATGTCACCTGAGCCTGGGCAGGGACACTCAGTCACGGGATGTTTGCTGGATTGGGACTAGGGGGAGTGCCCTTTCCTCTAGCTTCTTAGCAGGTAGGACGGAAGCCTCAGGTCTCTAGGGGCCATCCTGGCCCCGTAAAAGGAAAATCCCGCTTGAGAATGAAGCCAACACAGGAGAAATAGAGCCGAGAGGCAGCGACAGGCTCCTGAGAGCATCCTCTGAGCACCTAGACCAAGCCGTGCCTGAAGGTCTATCACCAGACTTTCCAGTTGCACAAACCCCAAATTCCCAAGCAGTCCGAGCTTGAGATTTTTGTGGCTGTTGTGATTTGCAGTGACAGGATCTTGACAGATCCATCCCTCTTTCCTTACCTGGGACTGGTGGGGTCAAGGCATTAACGTTCACACTGGTTAGATCCGCTGGAGAAATGGCCGTGGCCTCCTTCAATATCTGTCCTGAGAAATCAAGGGCGAGGAGTCAGAGAGGAGCCTCTGGTGCCCCTTCTCTCACCCCCACCCTGCCCTCCCTTCGGAAGCTGTGGGCTGTAACTCGGGACACCTGGTAGAGCAGCGGGTGGACATTTGAAGGGGGGGTATCCATCCGAGGTCCTGGAGGTGTTTTAAGAAACCCCTGCGGCCAGGACCCGAACCCTAGCCCGTCTGCCTGCCCGTCCTTGTGGGATGGGAGGCGCGATCTAGCCCAGCGAGCCCAGGGCCTGAAGTCGGGCCGGGGCCCTGGTCTCAAATTCTCCTCCCAGCAACTTCCTCGCTCCGTGACCTGGAGCAGATGAAGTCCTCTCTCTGCGCTTCAGCTGTCTCACCTGTCTCACCTGTGGGGACACCTGATCTACTCGGGGCTGTAGGGAGGGCGAAAGGACCCGCCAGAGGGAAGCATCTCCCCCACCCCTGGATACGCAGTCGCAGTCGGTTACAGCCACTGCCCGCCCCCTCCTCTCTGGCCTGGACCCCCTCCCAGGGCTCCCTGGCCTCACCCCTGCCCCCTGCAGTCTGCTCCCCGTCAACAGCCAGAGGGAGCCTGTGGACCCTGGGTCAGGGCAAGGCCCTGCTGGCTCCCACCCCCCCTCCTTGCTCCTAATAAAAGCCAAAAGACTCATGGGGCCCTCCCCCTGGTCTGTGACTACTTGGTGGCTGGCTGAAAGAACACATGAAAACCATTTTATCAAAGGCCAACGGGGGCGGCTTCAGTGGAGGGTAGGCCCTGGTTCCAGGGGCCCTGGTTCCAGGGGCGGTCGTCTCCCCGCCTCGCCACTCACTAGCCTCCGGCACAGGGCACTGCCCTTTGCAGAGCCTCAGTACCCTCATCCATAAAATGGGCACGACAGTCCGTATAACCGAGTGGAAGTCGACATGAGTTCACACATGCAGCACCTGCCAGGTAGGAAGCCCCTGCAAATGCCCACCCTGGTCCTGCCTTCGAGAAACGCTTCCTAGGCCAAGAGTGAGACACCCTCAACTCTTGGGCGTGCCCCAGCTGGCCTCCCTTGCCTAATCGTGCATCACCCCGTATCCAGGCAGCTGCTTTGATGGGCGCCCGGGGTTCCTGGCTGCTCAGTAGAAAACTGACACCAATGTCCCCGCCAAATCAAACTCAGTGGGTTCTTCTTGGAGGTGAAATGGAGGATGCTCAGCAGGACAGGCTCTGGCCAGACTCATTGGAAGCGGCCACCCAGGTGCGAGGTGCCCAAAGAGGGTGTAACCCTGGGCCCCTCACCGACACCTCACTTCCTGGTGCTGGCTCAGTAGGAGGGTGAAGATGCAGGGCAGGGCAGCCCAATTCACCAGGTGCCGGCGGCGCCAGTGCCCTCCAGGTGGGGGACTCTGGGGCGGAGGGGGGCAAGAGCTCGGCCTTACCTCTGGAGGGGAGAATCAGGCCAACGATGGTGAGGAGACACAGGTGACCAGAGAGCGACATCTATGGGGTGAGCAGGAGCTGGGGTCAGCCATGACGTCACTGAGGCAGGCCCAGGGCTGCACCGCCACCCCTCCCACCGGCCCCCCAGCCCGGTGGGATCCTGCAGCCCCTTCTTTACCCCCAGGCGAGCACCCCTGGCTTCAAGGGGCCCCTGCCAGGGCGGACAGCTGGTCTCCAGGGCGGGCGGAGGGTTTTAGGAGTGGAGGGCCCCGGCGCCCACCCCCTGCTTCCATCCACAGGTCCCCAAAGAAAACAAGAAGCATCGAGCAATCTGGGCTTCCAGGAGCAGCCACCGCGCAGGGCCCAGAAGAGCTCCCCCTCCCCAGACTGACCCCGCGGGGCCCAGGAGGGCTGGGGGGCTGGTGCCTCCCTCTGGGGCTGTCCCCAGGGCCCAGGAGTCAGCAAGGAGGGGAAAGAGGAAGAATGAGTAATGTGCTCCCGATCTCAGAGGAAAAAGTGAGCTGGTGCGAGGGGCCTGTCGCCGCCGGAGCGGGACGGGACGGAGCGGGATGCGGGGCACCTCCGGGCCGGGCCAGGGGCCGCGGGGCGGGGAGGCGGCGGGGGGCCGAGGAGCCGCAGCCCCCGGGGCGCCCCGGCAGGCGCGGGACGTGCGCAGGGTGGGGGCGGCCGCCCGACGAGCGCGGTCCCCCGGCACCTGAGCCCGGCCCCGGGCAGAGGGGAGGCGGCGCGGGCGGAGCGCAGGAGACTCACGTCCGAGCTGGGGGTCCCGAGCCGGCAGCCTCGTGGGCAGAGGGCGGCGGCGGCGGCGGCGGCGGCCGGGCGGAGGGTGTGGCCAGGGGAGCGCTGGCGGGCGGGGACCGAGACGGGCTCAGTCATTTCCTCTCGGGTTTCCTGGCTTCGGAGCCCGCGGTGGGAGCAGGAGGGGGAGACGCGGAGGGCGACGGGGGGCAGGGGTGAGAGCCGGCGGCGGCCTCCGCCCAGCGCTGGGGGAGGGAGGGTGGGGACGAGCGGGCAGGTCCCGTGGGTGGGGCTCCTTGGGGAGGGGGCGCCGGGGGAGAGACGAGCCGGGAAGGGGCAACTGGGGAGGGGACGTCGGGCAGGGGAGGGGCAGGGGAGGGGCAGGGGAGGGGAGGCCCCCGGGTCTCTGAGAGGTGACGGGGCCCTGGGGCGCTGGGGGAGGCGAGGGAGGAGGAGGGGGCAAGTGTGGGCGTGGGACAGAGCTCCCGCAGGGTTCAGTTTTGTCCTCTCCCCCCGTTTGGTCCCCACAGATGAGAACTTACAGACAGAACAGGGGAAAAAACCAAATGCACATTTATTAAGCTCAAGACAGACTCCAAGGGTGCAGGGCAACCGATCTTCTTCGGAGGGGAGACAGGGAGGTGCCGGGGAGCAGTACGTGGGGATCCTGGGGGGCTGGGGCTGGGCTCCCGGACCCCAGGAGCTGGAGGCCTGAGTCCCCGGATCCGGGATGCACACGGGCTCTTTGGGGGGTCGTCATTGCCAAGGCCTGGGGAGGGGCAGCAGGGTGCAGCGGCACCAGCCTCGGGTGGGTGGGGCGGCTCATTCGGGGGAGCGCTCCCCGGCGCAAGGCTGGGGTCCCCACCGCCTCCACCCGGTCCTCGGGCTTCCGCACTCAGGCAGGGACAGCAGTGGAGGTGCCCAGGGCTGGTCTTACACGCCGCCACCTCCAGGGGCTGGGGGGGGGGGGTGGCACAGAGACAGAGAGAGGGGAGCATCAGAGCTGTGGTCACCCACCTGCTGCACCTGAGCAAGCAACCCCCTCCCACAGCCACTGGGACCCCCAGCCTCCCATGGGAGCCAGACCCCCAGGGACTGTCACCCTTGAGCTAACACTGGGGAACTAGGGACCCCCGGGTGGCTTTCGTCCTGCCCCAGGGGACACTGTCACAGAAGGGAACACACTTGAGGCTAGAGACCCCTGGGCCAGGCTGAGCCTTTCTGGGATGTCCCCCTGGTGCCAGAAAGGGGGGGCTCCATCTCCTCCCACGTCCCCAACCTCCTCTGACCCTCCCATCCCAGTCACACACCCTGTCTCCCCAACACGTGGACGCAGGCGGAATTCCTCTGTCTCTCACCCACCTGGGACCATCACTCGGCTGAGTGGGTCCCAGTCCTGTGCTTTTGCCCCGGGAGCAGGGCCACCCCCCCACCCCCACCCGCAAAGTCACCCGCGCACCCCCACCAGGGGTTTTAAATCTCACAAAAACAAAAGGAAACAAAACTCATGAAATTCCACACCAAATCCCCCAGCACTGAGTACCCCAAGGCCCACTTTTTAGCCCTAAGAGCTTTAGGAGAGGCAGGGAGACTCCCCTTTCTGATGTTTCCTGTCCCCAAAAGGATGCGGCTCCACTAAAAACAGGTCAAGATATTTTTACAGAATTTGAATTAACACCCCAAGGAGTCTCAATCCTGCTTATTCCCTCCTACAGCCTAACCTCTGCCCATCTTCCTTCACCCCTTCCACCCACCTACACCCCCTCTCCCCACCCCACCCCTCCACACCCCCACCCCTCACACTCCCACACCCCTCACCCCTCCACACCCCCAACCCACTCCCTCCACACCCTCCACCCCCTGATGCCCCACACCACTCACCCTTTCACACTCCAACACCCTTCACCCCCACCCCCTCATGCTCCCCCACCCCTCACCCACTCACCCACTCACACTCCCACACCCCTCACCCCTCCACACCCCTACCCCACTTGCTCCACACCCTCCACCCCCTTACGCCCCCCACCCCTCACCCCCTCACACTTTTACACCCTTTATCCCTCCACCCCCACCCCACCCCTTCCATACCCTCCACCCCCTCACCCCTTCACACTCCAATCCCCTCCACAGTTCTACCCCCTCACATTCCTACACCCCTCACCCCCTCACACTCTTACACCCCTTCTCCTTCCATCACCCACCCCACCCCCTCCATACCCTCCACCCTTTCACCCCCCACCCCTCCACCCCCTCTGTGGCCTCCCCCCAACACTTTCATCCCCTTCCTCTCCTATCCTCCCTCTCCACCCTCCACCCCCTACACACCTCCACCCCTCACACACCCTCCATCCTCTTCACTCTTTCTGCTTTTCCTGTACTTTCATCCCCACGCTCCTTACATCCCCGCATTCTCTCTTTTCCAAAATCAGCTTTGAAAATCTGTATTCTATGCATTTCTCCTCTTGTTATTTTGCTACAATTATTCAAAAACACTTCCCTCCATCCCCCCGCCCCCTCTCTCCTTCCCCTTCTCTTTCCTCCCCTCCTTCCTTTTTCTTTCTTTTTTCTCTTTTTAAGTCATCTCTACCCCCACGTGGGGCTCGAACTCCCAGCCCTGAGATCAAGGGTCGCAAGCTCCACCCACGGAGCCAGCCAGGTGCCCCCCTCCTTCCTTTTTCTAGGTCATTTCATCCTCATTCTTCCCACCTGAACAGTAAAGTCTGGAAAACGTCCCCTCTTCCCGCCTCCCCTAGCACCTGCTCTGTGCCCCTGGGACTGTGGCCCCTCTGGTCGCAGACTTGTGGCTCCCTCCCCTGGAGCATCAGCCCCCCCTCCCCCCCCCCCCCCCCCCCCCCCCCCGCTTCCACACTCATCTCTGGGAAGCTTCTGTGGACCCTTGAGCACCGTCCCCACATCCCAGGGACTCGCCATGGTTTAAGCTCTCCTACCGACGGCCTGGCGAGGGCGGGTCCGCAGGGACATCCAGCGCAGCTCCCCTTGCCCTTCCTGCCCCCACCTCCCCTCCTCCCAGGACCACAGCCTCCCTCACCCTCACCTGAGGAGGGAAGCTCCGACTTACAGGATTTGCATGTTGGGCTGTGGAAGCAAAGACCGAGAGAAAAGCATCAAGAAATCCAATAGCCGCAGGCTTTGCGTTAGATGTTGTGCAAGCACCCCTGCACCCCGGGCTACCCCACCCCTCTCCTCTCTCTCCCCTCTGCTGCCAGACCTCTCAGACCTGGAGTCCGCCTTCCTGCACTTCACCTTCTTGCCTGTTAGGAGACAGACACAACGAGACAGGGCATGAGGGGCTGGACAAAGGCCGGCGGGGAAGCTGTAGGCGCCCAGGGCCCCCGAAGCGGCCCTCTGTGAGGTGCTTTGGAGCCCAGGAAAGGGTCACACTTACTGATGATGATGAGAATGCCCAGCAGGAACAATATGGTGGCCAGAGTCATGCCCACAGTCTGTACAGTGTCATAGTCTGGGGGAGATAAGGGGGAGCATCAACGTGGGTAGTACGCAGCCCTCCCTGGAGCCTTGACTCGGCCAGGGGCGCAGAGTCCAGGGATGCTGCGGGCTGCGCTGCCCCCCCCCCCAATGTGAGGATGGACAGCAGGAGCTTGGGAGCTCCTGGACCTCTTTACCCTCCCCCCTCCTCTAGATGCCTTGTACATACAGAAAACCGTGCTCTACGTCATGTATCGCAGACACATACATCTCACCTCCTTTCACGGCCTCCTCCCCGGTCCTGTCCACCACTGTCACCTGTCTGAACCATCGCAGCAAGCAAGCCACTCTGTGGTCTCCCCACACCCCAGTCTCAGGGATCCTGCCAACACCTAAGTCAGATGGGGTCCCTGAGCTCAGAGCGCCCCACCCTGCCCTGGCTTCCATTGCATTCCAAGGAAAAGCCAAAAAATCCTCACCATAGCCCACCTAGTCCTGCATCACCTGGTCCCTGTTCCTTCTCAGACCTCACCCCACCCCGCTTGCTTCCTCAGTCTCCTGCCCCAGGCAATCTGGTCTTTCTGCCTCTCCTGGAACAGATTAAGTATGGTCCTACCTCAGGGCCTTTGCATCTGCTGTTCCCTCTACCTAAAAAGCTCTCTCCCCCAGTATTTCTTCCTTACCAATTTCTGGGCTTTATTCAAATGTCGGTGAAAACTTCTCTGAAACCTTGTCTATTTAGAATTTCCCATCCTCTCCTCAATACTTTGTAATCCCATTCTTTCCTTATCTTCCTTTATAAGAAGCATTCTTGTCCAATATGCCACAGGAAATACAGTTGACCCTTGAACAACGTACAGGTCCCCTTATATGCAGATTTTTCAATAAATATTGTACAGCACTGTAAATGTATTTTCTCTGCCTTATGAAATTATTTTTATTTTTATTTTTTAGTAAGCTCTACACCCAACCTGGGGCTTGAACTCACAACCCCGAGATCCAGAATCACATGCTCTACTGACCGAGCCAGCCAGGCGCCCCTCTTCCTTCTAATTTTCTTAATAACATTTTTCCTCTAGTTCCCTGGGTTGTCAGAATACAGTATATAATACACATAACATACAAAATGTGTGTTAATCGACTATATCTTCTGTAAGGCTTCTAATCAACAGTAGGCCATGAGTAGTTAAGTTTTGGGGGAGTCAAGAGTTATATGTGGATTTTCAACCGCATGGGGGGTCGGCACCCCTTAATCCCCACATTGTTCAAGGGTTGATTGCATTTATTGGAATATGAATGTATAGAGCACCCCCTCTGTACCAGCAGTTGTCCAGGCCTCTGCCTCAGGGAATTGACTTTCATAGTGTGATAAAGGCTTCAACAAAATAAAATGAAACATCAGGGCCATGTGACTATGGCTAGATGTATCTGTGGCTCCTGTTGGCAGAGAGTCAGGAAGAGCCTCTCCTAGCAGAACAGTCAATATTTGATCTGAGCCCTGAAGAAGGAAAAGGAGCCTTAGTCAGCTGTTTGGAGAGCTAGATGAGGAGTATTCCTGGCAGAGGATACAGCACGTGCAAAGGCCCTGAGGTGGGAAAGAATTTGGCGTACTGGAGGAACAGAATGAGTGAGCAAAGGTAGAGGGGTGTTTAGAGAGGGAGCCAGGGCCAGGTCTGCCAGACCTGGGGGTAACTTTTTCAAGCTTCCATGCCATGGGGGTGATTTAACGGCATCACTCAAGTAAATCTTTCCCACAATCCTCACAGGTAAGAACTAATACTATCCCTTATTTACAGAAGAGCCCAGAGAGGAAAAGTTGCCTGCTCAAGGCCACACCGCTGCTAGCAAGGAGATGAGCCAGGATTCAAACCCGGGCAGCCTGGCCTCCGAGCTGTATGCCTCTCTGATGACCACCACGTACGATCCCAGAGTCCTGGTGAAGCCTGAAGGAGGTCCAGAGAGGTTACCCCTCAAAATCTGGTTTTGCCCTCTGAGCCCAGCTGGTGTAAACCAAACCCGCATGGTCACATGGCCAGTGGCCCAGCAGGTATCATGTTGCGGGGGCTGAAGCCGCTTCAGCAATTACCTGTGAGGACCTGCAACCACCCCTTTATCCAGCCCCAGGGTACCCTCATCAGAATCTGCCACTCACCATAGTAAAATGGGTCAGGCTCCTGAGGAACTGTGGGAAGGAAGGCAGGAAAAGAGAGAGAGGGGAAAAAATATTTCAACACTGGGTTTCTTAACATTTCTGAGGCTCCAGATGGGGCCACTGGTCCAAGGTTTCTGGGTAGAAATCAGATAAAGATGCCCCTTGATCTGAATGATACAGCTTCATGCATGGCAGGACACAAGGCTTGAAGAGTGGAGCATAGGATGGATTCCAGCCCCCTACTCACACCATTAGTCAGTACCTTCCCTTGTTCAGTGCACAACCTACCAAACTGTACATGGCAGTCTTGGTCCTAGTCCCCTGTGGAAATCTGAGGCAAGCTATGGACTCATTTCCTGAAAAACACATACACACTCCCATTTGCATATGATGCTGGGTTAACAGACTCCAATCCCACTGGTAAACCGCTGAGTAGACCAGCTTCCCCCAAATACTCCGTAAAACTCCTCAGTCATCTGACAGCTCCAAAAAACTCAGACGCTGTCCCTACTATTCTCATCCACTCGCTCCTGCCACCAAATCCTATGCAGGGAAGCTGTCCTATAATATACCCTGTATTATACTACATAGGATATATACTTGATGACTTATTTCTAAGCCATCACCAATTTTAAGATTCAAAATTGATTTCATAATAGCTTTCTGGGTGTGTGTGTGTGTGAATATGTATGTAACTCTACCATCCAAAACATACCCATCCATTAGAGGACTCACCCCGATTTCAGAAATGTTACTGTGTAGATAAAATGCACGTGTGTGGGGGGGTATTTATCTCTCCCCCTCACCCACCTCCCTGTTCCAAACCATATCCCCCTTCAGGAGAACTCATTCCCATTCGAGAAGCCCATCCTGGCGGCTCCCTAATTCCTGAGAGCTCTCAGTATGTTCTTTCTTGGCTAGAGCAGAATTCGGCACAGTGTGCCCCACCAGGCGAGGGGGGCCAGGAATGTCAGGGCCATGCCAGGCACCGGCATCAGTGCTCTCTTCCAGGATCCGGGGAGGATCGCAACTGCCTTGAGACTGGGGGAGGCCACGTGACTAACTCTGGCCACTGAACTGTGAGCCCAGGTGTCCCATCTCTTCCAGGCTGGACATTTAAGCGCTCTTAGCAGAGCTCCCTGTGGCCATTGGCCCGGTGACATGAAGCTTTCTCTGGTGAGTAGGGACCCCCAGCTGACCTGTGATGGGCATATCGTGTAAGTGAGAGTTCTACCTTGGTTGTCACAAGCCCCTGAGGTGACACTGTTTAAGATGTTTACACTTGCCTTTAAGACAAAAAAAAAAGTCCCAATTTTCCATGTGTGATGGTGATACCAAATGAAGCTAATTACGGTTTTTTTTTTAAAGCGAATCCTTGAAAGGAAAAATACTAAGTATGAGTGTGGGGAACATCTGGATAGGCCAAAAACTGTGGAGGTGGTCCTCGAAAGTGTCAAGATGGGGAAACGTTATTTTAGAGTCGTATGTGCTATCTTAGCTCCCCCCCTCCACCAGATGGGGAGTAGATTTGTTTGACTCCTCTGCCATTAATCGTGGCATTTATAAAAATCTTTCAGGGAAGTTTTCTAGGATGAATGAAAGAAAAAATGAATAAATGAGTGAGCGAGTAAATGAATGAATGAATGAATGAATGAATGAATGAGAGCCCCTGCTAGGCTTTGGAAGCTGCATCAGAGGTGGAGTGGACGGATTATCTTGATTTGTCTCCTGTGTTTCCAAACACCCTGCCCTCCTTAACCGTCAGAAGCCCACTGGATGAGCACCTGCTTCAGAATCCTCTTTGGTGCCACCCTGGGTGCCCCGTGCTCTATGCAGAAGTCCCTCTTCTGGTCCCTGCTGCCCCAGCAATCTGGTTCCTCAGGGCGAGGCTGGGCTAAGGGTGGAGCCAGGAGGCAGGAGGAGAAATGTGCACCACTCCTGGCTAGTTGCCAGGGAGACATCAGGAAGGAGGTGGTTGCTATGGCAACTGGGGCATCTTAAGAGGTGAAGAGAGGTGATGGGTCTGGGCACCCCCAGGCTGGGTGGGGTCCTGAGGGTTAGGTCTCTAACTCTAGGGCCAATCTTGACTCCCTCTGCTCCCTTTGTAGCTCCCATTGTCCCTGCAGGGCTAGCTTCTGGCCAAACCCAGGGTCCTTCTCAAGGATGGGGACCCAAGCCCAGCTGTGCCTCTGCATCCCCTTTCTGCTTGCCCCCTGATCTCTGACACGGTGGGAGAGCCCTCAGCTCCCTCCCCCATGCTCCCCCCCAATAATCCATTAATCAATTTAAGTGGTGCAATACACAACATGCTCTTCTTCACCCCCCCACACCTCCCCCCCGGGGTTTCCCAAGACCTGCGATCCCCTCTTGTGCTATGACTGGGGAAAAGGTGGGGGTGGGGGTGGGGCTGAGGCGTCTGTCCTCCCACCTCTGCCCGTCTGCTGCCATCGATCCTGTTAACCACCATCTCTGCGAAAAGAAGCCCTGGGCTCCCGCCAGGCCCGCTGGCTCAGCCCTGCCCCCTCTCCCTAGGGTGGCTTCCAGCCTCTGCAGCCCCCCCCCCCCGCCCTGCTTCAAATTCTGCAGATATGGCTCAGTGCAGCAGCCCCTGCCTGCCGGGAAGGGGGGCAGGGAAGGAGAGATCCGAGTGGAACTGGGGTTCCCTTCACCACCAGGGGCTCCTCAGCACCACTGGCCTATCCCCTCTGGCCCTGCTCTCAGCGCTGGAAACCCCACCCCCACCCCTACCCCTACTAGAGCATCCTTCCCCTTGTTCCTCCGCAGAGGCAGGCTCAAGAGCGGGGCTGTCAGGGGGGCAGTGGGGGTTTAAGTGGGTGAATAACTGGGTTAACGGTGTGAAATGTAAATCGCTGTGTGGCTAGCCGGGGGTGAAGGAGGGACATCTGTGTGCACAGCCGAGTGCACCCTCCTGGACCAGACGACACCCCTGCATGTGGGCTGGGAAGGAGGGTCCCGCCACCCATTCCTGCCCAGGGGGCTCACTGCAGTGGCTCGGCCCCACCCCATGCTGCTCCTCCTTCTGTCTGTCTCCCGCGCTGTGGGTCCTTCTCTCTCTCCTCCTCCTCGATGCCTTTCTCTGTGCCTCTGTCTCTGATTTTCTCTCTTTCTCTGCATCTCTTTCTCTTGCTCTCTGCCTTCCCGTCACTCCCAATCTCTTCCAGCCCCGTATCTGTCCTCTCCCTCTGAGTCTCGGACTCTGGGTCGCCTGTCACCCTTGCTCGCTCTCTCTTTCAGGCTCTCAGACAATTTTCACATTCCTTTCCGTCTCCCTCTCTCTTCTGTCTCTTTCCATCTCTCTCTCACTTCCTCCGGCGCTCTCCCCTCCCCTGTCTTTCCATCCTTCTCCCTCCTTCCCGCGGAACCTGCCTGTCAGGGATTTCTGGAGACACCCACCACAGGAGCCAGCGCTGGGAAGGAGAGGGATGCACCCCCCCGCCCACCTCGGAGACCCTGAGATTTGCAAGAGCCTCTGCGGTGGCCGAGCCCCCCGTTCCCACCCTCGAAGCCCGAAGCCCGGCTCTCCGCGTCCACTACCGCCGCCGTGCAGGACCAGCCGCCCGGTTGCCATAGCTACCGGTCCGCGCATCCCTTCTCCCGGGACTGCCGCTCTCCGACCTGGGGTCCCGCACGGGAACGACACCGCCGGGAGGGGGTGTCCCAGAGGCCTGGAGGGGCGCCAAGGGGTGCACTGCAGGGGCCGCCGCCCGTGGAACAACGGACATCCCCTTCCCCATTCCCCTCCCTTTTCCGTACTGGCATCCCCCTCGATCCTCTCCCCTAAGCTCTAAGATCCCGGAGCCTCCCTGCCCACCCGCGCGCCCTCTCCCCAGGCGACGCTCACCCTTTGTGGGGGCCTGGGTCGGGGTCGCCATGCCGGGCCGGAGCAGGGGGCGGCTGGAGGCCGAGGCGGTGAAGGCGCGGCTGCAGCAGCTGGAAGCGGGACGGACTGATGTCGGGGGGAGATGGGGGGAGCCCTCGTGTGGGGGGGGCCGTAGCCAATGGGGGCCCGGAGAGCCCGCCCCCGTCCCGGCCACCCCCGCCCCCGCCCCCGCCCACTGCCGACGTCCCCGCCCCTTCCCCAAGGGTGGGGGCGCCCCCTGCCGGGGCCAAGGGGGCGCCCGGGCTTCCGCGCAGAGGGACTGACAGATCCACAAAGCGCCGTCAAGAGAGAAAAGCACGTTTTATTGAAGTCTGGGCGGCAGAGAGGAGCCTGCGGGGGCAGGGCTGGGGAAGAGGGCAGTCCAGGTGGCGGTGGGCGCACAGGTGTGGGTGGGAGGCATCAGGCGCCAGGGGAATCCTGTGGGGGTGACAAAGGTGAGAGGCAAGAGAGCCCCCCGGCCATCCCAGCCCACCCTTCGCCCCCTTCTCCTCCCCCCGCCCCCCAGCCTAGCCCGAGCTGCAGGACCTGGCTGGGTTCCATCGCGCCAGGTGTCTCTACCGCCTGCGGGTGGACAGACCTGAGGGGGAACACGGAGAGTCCGGGCGTCGGGAGGGGCACCCTAGCTCCTGCGGAGCGGGAAGCAGCAGGGGGACTCGGGGACCTCGGGTTTCAAAGCCAGCCCCTCCCACCTCGCACCCCGGGAGGGCCAGGAAAGGGGTTCTTGGAACCCGCCCCCACCCCCGCCCCAAAACACTCGAAATCTCCCCAGACTCACGGCGGATGGAGCTGCGGAAAGTTCCCTCCTCTTCATCAGGTTCCCCAGTCCTGGCAGAAGGAATTGGGGATGAAAACGGAGAGAGGCAGCCGCCCCCAGGACCCCTCCCTCCGCCAGGGCAGCCCTCACTTCACAGTCCCCTGCGCTGAGGGCTGGAGATGGGCGAGGAGCAGGCTCGGGGGCCGCCAGAAAATCGGGCGCACCCAGGAGCGGCTTAAACGTGTGCCAGGGGGTGCTGCTCCCAGTGCCTCCCGGAGCGCAGGGGAAGAGGCTGGAAGTTGGTGGGGGAGGGGCGGCCGAAGGGCCTGAGCGCGGCCGGCCTGGCGACAGCCTAGGTTAGAAAAACCCAGAACCCTCATCTCCTCGTTGAGAGATCTTGGGCAAGTGGCTTCGCCTCCCTGTGCGCCGGTTTCCTCACCAGCAAAATGAGGTTAATAACAGCACCTACCCCGTACTAGGGCTGTGGGGAGTAGAGAAGGCAGTAAAACGGTATCCGGCACGTGGCGCTAAACATTAGCTATTATTTAAAATGACATCCATGACTGTTTTAACATGGAGAAGGTATTCATACGCTGCTTTAAATTTTTATTTAAAGATGAATCAAAGAGCTAGGAACAGGACTCTGAGCTAAACTGGGCCGCCAAGCGCGGTGATCTCATTTCGCCGTGGCTCTTTCACAGCACTTAGCACGCTTTGTGATTTTATATTTGTGGGGCTGTTGGAGCCCACGGCCGCCGCCCCCACTGGGCCGGGAGCTCAGCCAGGCAGGGAGGGCAGTTTATTTATTCACTGGTCCCCAGGGCTTGGCCTGGGGCTTGGCACACATAGTAGGGGCTTAATACATTTTTGCGGAAAGGGCTCCGGCTGCGGGTCTGGTGGATGCCCTGCCTCACCCCCGCAGCGCCCCTCTAGAGCGAAAGTAGGTGAGTGAGAGCCCGGAGGGGCCTCTTACCTCTGCTGCTGGTTGAATTTGCACCGGCACCTTCTGCCTGCGGGTGGGGGTAGGAGGAGGCCGGGATTCAGCTCCCGGCGGGCACCAAGCGGCGCTGGTGAGCCGCCTGGGGCTGGGGAGGGGCGGAGCCGCAGGGATAGGGGCGGGGCGAAGGGGCGGGCGAGGGCAGGGCTAGGGCGGGGGCGGCGCGGAGTGGGCGGCGCGGCAGGGGGCGTGGGCGGGGCGGGGCGGAGGGGCGGGGCTAGGGCGGGGCGGAGGGGCGTGGGCGGGGCGAGGCGGAGGGGCGGGGCTAGGGCGGGGGTGGCAGGGGGCGTGGGCGGGGGCTAGCGGGATGGGCGGGCTAGGGCGGGCGGCAGGGGGCGTGGGCGGGGGCTAGGCGGATGGGCGGGGCTAGGGCGGGGCGGCAGGGGGCGGGGCGGAGGGGCGGGGCTAGGGAGGGGCGGCAGGGGGCGGGTCGGGGGCTAGGCGGAGGCGGGGCGGCAGGGGCGGGGCGGAGGGCGGGCTAGGGCGGGCGGCAGGGCGGGGCTAGGGTGGGGAGGCAGGGGCGGGACGGGGCGGATGGGCGGGGCTAGGGCGGGGCCAGGCGGATGGGCGGGGCTAGGGCGGGGCGGCAGGGGCGTGGGCGGGGGCTAGGGTGGGGAGGCAGGGGCGGGACGGGGCGGAGGGGCGGGGCTAGGGCGGGGCGGCAGGGGTGGGGCGAGGCGGCAGGGGCGGGACGTGGGCGGGGCTAAGGCGGCGGGGCTGGGGCGGCGGGGCGGGGCGGGGCGGAGACCCGCGGCAAGGAGGGGACGCACACCACAGCACCCGGGGGGCTGGAGGCAGGGGATGGGGGTACTCACTCAGGATGATGAGGATACCGAGGATGAAGAGGATCCCGGCGATGATGAGGCCTCCGATCCGCAGGGATTGGTAGTCTGTGGGCGGCAGGGAGGAGGGTGAGGGCAGGGAGGGGAGGAGGAAGGGGAGGAGAGGGGACAGAATGGGGAGGAGGGGGCGAGGAGGACCCGGGAGGATCCGGGAGGGGAGAGGAGAACGGTGAGAGGAGGAAGTGGGAGCGGGATCAGGGAGAGAGATCAAGCGGGGTGCGAAGGAGAGGGAGGAGGTGGGCAGGGCAGGCGGGGAGGAGGCAGGAAACAAGGAAGTAGAGGAGGATGGTGGAGAGAGTGAGGGGACCGCAGAGGGGAGAGAGGGAGGCACAGCAGAGGATGAGCCATGAAGTACGCAGAGGTGACAGGAGAAAGAGACTCAGAGAGGGACCAAGTAGGCAGACACACAGAGACACAGACAAGGGCAGATCAAAACAGGGAGTCAGAGAGCCAGATCTCTGAGAGACACGAGAGACAGGAGAGTGACCGAGATACAAACACCGAGCCGGAGAGACAGGTGGACAAGGAGAAGAGGTAATGAGGACAGGACGGGCACACCTAGGCCATCCGCCCTCCCGGCTCCCCAGTGGCTTCCCAGTAGATGCCTCTCCCTCCCTCACCGTAGGTGAACGGGTCGTGTTCCTGTGGCGCTTCTGGAAAGAGAAGGAAGTCAGAGGTTGGCTGCTTCCTGGGACTCTGCACAGGGAAGGGCGTAAAGAGACCCTCTGGGGGCTTTACTCCCTTGGGCTGAGAGTCTGCGGACCGCTGGGCCCTGAGCAGGCTGCCCACCCTCCCTGGGCCTTAGCCGCCTCATCTGCACTGTGCTGGGTGGGGCGGGGGGCTCCTAACTGCCCCCGCTTCCTGTCTTATTCCCTGTTGTCAATGATTCTGTCATTTGAGGTTAGAGGCCTCCATCCCACCATCCGCCTTTGCCTGACCTTGCATCTGCTCCCCTGCCCCAAATACTAGCTGGTGTTTGGACCCACGCAAAGTCCCCAATTTCCTGGTACCCCAACCGACTGGGTGTAGGTTGGAGTCTCCAAGTTGTTTCTCTTGAAGGGCTTTCCCCTCCCCTGGCCTCCCTTGGGGCTGAGGTGGGTTGTGGGCTACCCGCCCTAGACTCACCTGCGGTGGCCGTGGTGAGAAAACCCACACAGAGAACCAAGATGTGGTGGAGAGGTGCCATCGTCCTGGGAGGCAGCAAGGGTCAAGAAATGTGTTCCCTCGTCTCCCTCACCATTGGGGCTTGAACCCAAGGGGTTAAATCAGAGTCCAGGGGCTTAATTCCAAAAGTACCCATCATCCAGCTTGGCCACTGCTTCATGTGGACACGGTGTCCCCAAAACAAACCACCGTGGGGGTGGTACGACACACAGCGAGGGCAGGGGTGAGACACACACAGCCCACGGGGGTCGCCCAAGGCCTGGGCCTCCCGACAGCAGGCCCCAGGTTCCCACACCTACCCCGTGGGAAGAGCAGGATGGCTCACCCCACCCAGGTGGAGAGACAGATGCACGCGGTGAGGGGTGAGCGACGCTGCAGCCCAAGACATGCCCAAGGGCCACCTGCCCACACACAGGGCCTCGCTGTGTCCGTGTAATATCCCGCTCCCCTGGCCTCGGCCGCTGGCCGGCTCTCTCCTGACCCCGGGTATAAATATCTCCCACTTCACCCTGGAGGAATTTGCCTCACACAGGCCACCATGGCAACAGCCTTCCTTCCCCCACTCGGGGGTCACGCACAACCCTGCCGGGTGAGGCCCGGCTGCCACATCGCTACAGGCTGCCCCTGGGGGAAAGGCCAACCCCTTCTCTTCTGGAAATGATGAGAACAGGGATAAACATCCCCTCCGCCTGCCTCTGGGTGACATCTCTCACAGGCGGACACCACCAGGCGAGTGGCATGAGGCCCAGAGCAGCGGGGCTGAGAGACGGAAGACAGATGCCAGGGCCAGGGACACACACAGACACACAGACACAGACACACAGACACACACACATGCGCAATGGGGCTGGAATGGAGACAACGCCTACTCCCCAAACCTCTGGTTTGAGCAAGACATGGGGTGGAGACACAGTCACTAAAACGATACTCTTCATCTGAGCCTCCAGTGCCCCCCAAAAGTGACGCCACCCGACCTACACACATCAGTGTTCAAAACCCACACCAGCCTGCACACACAGCAGCAGAGGAGGGGGAGTCGCACCCACACTCGGCTCCTGGGGAACCCCACGGCCGCCCCAACCACATTCCCTTCCTCTTGGGTCTGGCCTGCCTGGGAAGCCACGGGCTGGCCACTCCTGCTCCCAAAATAGGTGGCGTGGCCAGGCCAGGGGTGAGGCCTGGGGGGGAGGGCAGGGGACGCTCACCCCAGTCAGGCTGTCCCCTGCTGAAAGAAGGCCCCCAAACGTCCGGCTGTGCCGGGGGTGAGCACTTTGGACCCCCTGGCCCAGAGCTGGTCCTGCGCCGCCCTCAGCGGTCTCCCCTCCCAGCCCCACCCCACCCCTACCCTCCCCAACCGGCAGCTGTAACTGGAGCCCGGGCTGGAGGGGGGCCAGGGGGCGGCCCCCAGCCCAGACCGCCCTGGCCCGCTAGGTTAACTCTCTCAGCTCAGATGGAGGAGCCAGGGCGGGATCGCGGGGGAGGGTGCTGGCAGGGAGCTCCGGCTCAGGACACGCACCCGCACCCACGCAGGCAGGCACCCACGCTCCGCCCCGGGTGCCTCAGAGAGCCTCTGCCCTGCGGTGGGCCGGTGGGTGTCGGGGATTTTCTGGGAGGCTCCCTGGGCATTGGGCCGGTCGGGGCCTAAGGTCACCCTGTCTGAATGCTTCGGAGCCCACTGACCCCTGACCCCAGCGTTCTGCGGAGACCTGGTGGGCCCCGCAGGGCTGTTGTGGGAGCATTTCAGTGTGTGTCCGTTGTCTGCTGCTGATGGTGAGTTCACCCAGGAGTGCACACCACACACACACACACACACACACACACACACACACGACTCCATTTACGTAGGCAGAAAATCAAACAAATACGTATGTGCTCCTACATACAAACACAGAGACAGACACACAGAGGATAACACACCCGCGGAGAGACCCAAAGACACACCCGTACAGCCCATACTTCTTACACCAGTCACAAAACACGGACAGATACATTTGTATACGCATGCCATACACACGCACACACACACACACACGCGTGGATGCCCGTACAGAGACACAAAGACCTCACACAAGTGTGCACCCTTACAAATGGCCACACCCTTGTGAAGACGCACTCACAAATGGCTGTACATTAACACACCAGTACACACACCACACATCAATACATTCAAAAGCACGGACGCCCAGCCAGCCCTCCCACAGTTTCCGAGATGCGAAGGCCCACAGACCATGTACATATGCACGTGGGTACCTGCATATACCTCTGCGGGTACAAAGAGAGACAGAAACTCTGTAAAGGACTCAGGTGTAAGACCGGCCACTCTTACAACCACAAAACACACACACACAGTGTTCATACCCTCATGCACGGGCAAATAGGACATAGCTGGCCACTCGGCCATAGGCAGACAGGCCTACAACTTGTGTTGACACACTTGGAGACACCACCCAATGTGTGGTGATGTGTTTAACCCCAACCACCCCCCTTCCCTGATCTCATGTGGCCTGTAGGACTCTCTGGAGAACAGCACACGGTGTCCTCACGAGCGGGCCAGATTTGTAGGTACAGGTGACAGAGAAACCTGGGGCCGGGTCTGAGCTCTGCCGCTGGTGGTTGTGCGACATTGAGCAGCCCATACGACCTCTCTATGCCTTAGTTTTCTGTCCTATAAAATGGAGAAATCACCAAAAGCGTATGTGAAACGCTGAGGCAGGCTCAGAGGCCTGTGAACCCAACACAGTCCTATTATGAACCCCGTTTTAGAGATGAGCAAAACAAGGGTCAGCACAGTGGAGCTAATTCTCCTGAGGTCCCTGGTGGTTAAGGACAGAAACCGCCGGCACGCTGAAAGAGTCAGACGTGGGCTCCGACTCTGTAGGACGCAGTTTCAGGGGCAGGTGGACACGCTCGCACTCGGCACAGGCATAGCTAGTGCTCCACGATACGTGTGTGTGTGTGTGTGTGTGTGTGTGTGTGTGTGCGTGCGGTCTCAGAGGAGCCTCAGAGGTGGCTTTGAAATGCACCCTCATCCCTGTACATCTGAGCCTCTGCCCCCCGTGGCCCTGCACCCCTGGGTCACCAGCAGGCCTTGGTTAATGATAACCAGGATGTTTATGCAGCCGTGGGGAGGGCTGACAGCGGAGCAGGGAAGTCAAGCAGGGCTGGGGGCACCCGGCCAGCTGCAGCCAGTCCTTGGCACCTCCTCCTCACAAGGCCGACAGCTCCAGAGTGGAGCAGCTCAGCCACTTCCGTGCTAGGTGACGTTGGGCACATGACATAACCGCTCTGAGGCTCAGTTTCTCCTACCGTAGCACAGAGGTAAAATCGTAGTCACCTCAGAGGGAAGCTGGGATGATTATCTGAAGTGATCCATGGAAAGCATCTAGAACAAAGCCTGGCCAACAGTAAGTGACTAAAAAAAAGGTTAGCTAGTGTCACTGTCGTCATTGTCATTCTCTTTGCAAACCCAAGTGAGAACGCTGCTGGCCGGGGACGCTGTATGGATTTACGCCTGTGTCCCCACTGTGTCCCTGGCACAAGTTCTTCATCTTTGCAAAGGCTTTGGAAAGAAGTTTATCACCTCTGCTTTATAGCCGAGGTAACCAAGTCCCGAAGGCCTTGCTCAAATCACAGAGCCATTCCGGGTGCAGGACAAGCGCTGGGATCCAGAATTCACCTGCAGGCCTGCCGACCACCGTGGGGGGCCCGCCCTGCGCTGACCCACAAGCGGGGGCCACCGCCCCCCTCATCTCATGGACTGTTCTACACATTGGGGAAGTGGGAGCCACCAATTGCCCCACTTGACAGACGGGGAAACTGAGGACCAGGGAGCCAGATGACTTGCCGGAGCCACGCAGAGCTGAGTCTGTGATCCCTCCTGAGCTGGTGCTGTTGAGCCTCTTGACCTCCGAGTCTTCTGGGTGTGCGTGGCCGTAGCCAGAGAGGCTGTGTGTTTTCCTCAGGGTGGGGAGGGGGGTGGGTTGGTTTAGTTCAGTCCAGGGCCATGAAGTGAATCGATAAACCTCTTCATACCTCATTTTTTCCATCTGCAAAGTGGGGACCAGTAGTATGACTCCCTTCACAGGGTTGTTGTGGGAGCTGATCACATTCGTGTTAGGTCAGGCACACAGCAAGGGCTCAATGATTATTACTACGACTATTTCGGGTTGGGTACAAGTGTCATTTATTACTTTTTCTTTTTTTAATTCTTTCTTTCTAAAAGGCTTAATTTCTTTATTCTCGAGAGACACAGGCATAGGGAGAAGCAGGCTCCGTGCGGGGAGCCCCAAGTGGGATTCGATCCCAGGACCCGGGGATCACATCCTGAGCCGAAGGCAGATGCTCAACCGCTGAGCCACCAGGTGTCTGTATTTTTTTTTCTTACTTAATGGACAGAATCTATCCAAATTGCTAAAACCTTAGTCCAAATGAAAATGACCAATATCCATGAGCTCTGGTCCCCCAAGAGGGAACACAAAGTCATGCGGAGAGGCCCTGGAGCTGGCTGCTTGGGCTCCAGAGCTGGCCCTGCCCCAGTCCCTAACCCAAATCTCAAGTTGACTTGACCTCCCTCCTCAGTGTTTCCATCTGTAAAACAGCCACGTAAGAGGATCAGCCTCAGAGGGTGCGGGGAGCTCAGCATGAGCTGAGAGACGAAGTGTCAGGACAGGGCCTAGCGCAGAGCCAACGCCGAGGAAGGGGGTGGCATCCTCACCATCGGTTTCCCCTGGAGTCGGCTCCTAATCCCAGTGGGTGGTTGGCACTCAGGGGGTTAATTTGAGGCAGGGCCGGCGGCTGTGGGCTCCGGGCAGGGCTGCTGTCCCGCCGAGTGTGGCCACCAGAGGGAGCAGCTGGCCCCCTCTGAGGCTTGGTGCCCCGGCTCATCACACCCTCCGGGGAGGGGGCTGGCTGGGGGAGCCCAGGATGGGACCAGCACCCCCCCTTCCCCGGGGTCGCTCCTGCCACCCCACCCCCACCTGCAGAGCCATCCACTCCCCACCCTGGTGACATCTCCTCACACTCCGAGTGGGGTGGAGCGGGGTGGAGGGGGAATCTGGGGAGGGGGCTGGCTGAGAGGGGTCAGGGCAGCTCCAGCCCTTGCAGCCCCTCCCCTCCCATGGGGCCATCCAGTCCCTTCCTTAGGGCCGCTCTTCCTATGGCCTCTAACCCCCTCCTCCCGCTGCGGCAGTGCCCAGCGGCACACCCGGTGCCCCAGTGAGTCCCTTTCCCAAACCTCCAAGGAGAAGGGGCGTGGGAGGAAGGGGAGAAGGGGAATTGGAAGGGGCGGTGAGAAATAAAGACACCAGACAGAGGGACACACACACACACACACACACACACACAGGCCGACAGACGGACAGAGACAGAAACAGAGAGAGACAAAGAAACAGAGATAGAGAGACAAACGGAACTAAAGACAGAGAGTGGGAAGCGGACTAACTCACTGAGTCAGAGAGAGAGAGAGAGAGAGAGAGAGAGAACTAAGAAAATTAGACGCCCAGGGCATACAGGAAGAGAAGCAGCTGAAGGAGAGACGGAGAAGGGAGAGGCGCGGCGGCCGCGCTGTGCCAGCCGGCCGGATGGGGGGCCGCCCGGCGGGGCGGAGGTAGTGGCCCCGAGTCACCCACCGCGCGGGTGGGCAGCAGAGAGCGGCGGCGGCAGGGGTGAGGGGGCATGGGAGGGGCGGGCGTGCTGCTGCTGCTGCTGTTGGCCGGGGCCGGCGCCTGGAGGCCCCCCAAGGGAAAGTGCCCCCTGAGCTGCTCCTGCTCCAAGGACAGCGCCCTGTGCGAGGGCTCTCCGGACCTGCCCGACAGCTTCTCCCCGACGCTGCTGTCACTGTGAGTGTCACAGTGGGTGAGGACCTGGGGCCCCAGGGGCCGGGGGCAGGGCGTGGGGGGTCCCCGAGGAAGCCGGGACCCTCCAGGATCTTGGGAGGTGGGCAGCAAGGGCTGTCGGGATGCCTCGAAGGGAGCTGCTGGGATGTGGACAGGAGCCGAAGGGAAACTCCAAAGCTCAGGGCAGCATTTGGGGTTCCAGGTGGGGGGCGCGGGGCAGCAGGGGTTGGAGGGCTGGATGTTGCCAGGATCCTTGCCAAGTGAGGAGGGCCAATGCCTGTTTCCCTAGGATGGAAAGGAAAGACATCCAGGGTTGGGGCGGGGTGCCAGTGTCCCCCAAACAGGAGACGGCTCTGGGGCGGGACCAGAGCATTGGGGTGGTTTTCTCCTCCGTCCCCAGCTCACTCGTTAGGACTGGAGTCACCCAGCTGAAGGCCGGCAGCTTCCTGAGGGTGCCCACCCTACACCTGCTGTGAGTGCGGCTCAGCTGAGCCGAGGACTAGCTCGAGGGAGTGGGTGGGTGTTGGCACAGGTACGTGGGGGGGGGTGCACAGAGGTGTACGTGCACGTACGGGTGTGTGTGACCATGTCCATGTGGGTGGAGGTGGGAGCCAATGTTTAAATCTCATGGGGGGCAGTAATTTTGGGGAAAAAACTCTTCTTGCTCCCTTGGCAGCCTCTTCACATCCAACTCCTTCTCAGTGATTGAGGACGATGCCTTTGCGGGTCTGTCCCACCTGCGGTACCTGTGAGTGAGGCCAGGGGATGGGGACAGGGGTGGGGGCTTGGGAGAGGAAGTTGGGGGGGGCCATCTGAGGCTCTGAGAGTAGACGCAGGTAGGGCCTTATTGGCATGGGTAGGGGGAGTGTCTGGACAAGGGTCCCTCCTGGAGGGCAAGAGGCCTGGCGTCTTGGGCTCCTGCTCAGCTGTGTGATCCCGGCCTGCTCACCTCCCCTCTCTGTGCCACAAGATCCACAGCCCCAAGACTGTTTCTGGCTCTCTACCTGACTTAGGGGAGCCCAGGGAGAGTAAAAGAGGCCAGAGATAAGGAAATACTTCAAATGAACAGGAAACAGCTCTGAGGTGGTGATGGTGGTGATGGTGGTACTGGTGGTGGTAGTGGTGGTGGCGGCGGTGGTGACAGTGTGACACCAATGCTGGTGTCAGTGATCACGGTGTTGATGGTGATCCTGTCGCTGCTGCTCACAGGGAAGGGGTGACATTATTGAGGACGATGAAGTGGGGATGATGTTGGTCACAATGGCAGACCCAATGGCGCTGGTGCTGGTGCTGGCAATGAAGTTTGAGGGGCTGGTGTTGCTACTATCAGTGTTGTGGGTGTTGATAATTACAGCATCAGTGTCGCTGTTGGCAACGGCTGTGGGGGCTGCTGGTGTTGGTGCAAGGGCAACGTTGCTGGCCCCGGGTTTGGTGGCGATGATGGAGGTGTTGATGTGTATGGAAGTTGTGGTGGTGGTGATGCTGGGGATAACGGTGACGTTGGTATTGGCAACGCTGGTACCTGTGCTGAAGCCTTCGATAACGGTGGCAGTGTTGATGACGGTGGCCGTCCTGTTGGGGCCACCGTGAAGGCTGTGTTGCCGGTGACGCTTATCAGTATAGCTGGGTAAGGCTTGGCGACGATGCTGTTGGTGTGGACGACGGGAGTGGGTGGTGATGCTGGTGCTGGTGGCGGTGGTGGCACAGTATGGTATGGATGACAGTAACAGTCATTGGCACCGGGGTTGGTGATGGCGACAGGGGCACAGGTGTTGGTCAGATGGATGACGGTGGAGGTGCTGGCGGTGATACTGGAGCGAGTGCTGGTGTCGGTGGTCCTGTGGTGGCAGTGGTGGTGATGCGGTGGCAGTGCTCACTGTCAGGCTGGCAGTGAGCCCAGGGTTAGGTTCTTGGCTCCTGGGATGATAGTCTGGAACCTTGGGGAGGAGAGTTTCCTGGGGAGGCTTCGGTGGGCTGAGTTTCCCCAAACGCTCCGGGGCCACCGCAGGGACCCGAGGGCCTCCCCCTCACCCCACCTTCCCTCCACAGCTTCATTGAGGACAATGAGATTGGCTCCATCTCTAAGAACGCGCTCAGAGGACTTCGCTCACTCACACACCTGTGCGTGCCTCCCCCACTCGCTCACCAGCCCACCCAGACAGCCCCCCAGCCCCAGCCCCAGCACCCAGGGACACAGGGGAGCCGGGTAGCTGGTGACAGCCCCTCCTCCTTCTCTCCTTCCACCAGGAGCCTGGCCAATAATAATCTCGAGACCCTCCCCAGATTCCTGTTCCGAGGCCTGGAGACCCTAACTCATGTGTGAGGCTCAAGGGGGCTGGGTGGCTCCGGGGAGTCTGGGGTTGCTGGAGAGGGACGGGAATGGCTGTGCCCACTTTTGGTCGACACAGATCAGTATGCGATGGTTCTTCCGTATTTTTCACACACCGCCTCTGGGGCCCCATCCTGAACCTTTGCCCGGGGAGGGGGCGGCGGACGTGGCCTCCAGGGGGGTGGAAGCCAGGTCGCAGCCCCTCCCCGGCCTCTTGCCCCAGGGACCTCCGCGGGAACCCGTTCCAGTGTGACTGCCGTGTCCTCTGGCTGCTGCAGTGGATGCCCACCGTGAATGCCAGCGTGGGGACCGGGGCCTGCGCCGGCCCCACCGCTCTGGCCCACATGCAGCTCCGCCACCTGGACCCCAAGACGTTCAAGTGCAGAGCCATAGGTGGGGGCTTTCCCGGCAGGGTGGGAGGGACCGCAGGGGTTCCAGAAGAAGGCGGGAGATCAGGGGAATGGCTCCCAGGGCTGGAGGGCTCACCTCGCTCCCTGCTCTGCTGTTTCCCAGCTTGTGAGACCCTGGGCATGAGCATCGGCTCCCTGAGCCTCAGTTTCCTCATCTGTAAAATGGAGGTAATAAGCCGTGACATAGGATTGCAGCGAGAATTCAGTGATGCATCCACCCACGCCCGCATTTGGCGCAGAGCCTTGGATGGGAGGCCCTCACAAGTGTTCACTCTGGTGGTTGTTATTCATATAAAAAGTGACCATTTACAAATACTTGCTATGATACTTGCTATTTTGCTTTTCCATAAATATGTTTTGGCACCTTTATGGGTCCTGGGCCATGCAAGAGGCACAGCAGGGATGAAGATGGCCCCGGCTCTGGCCCTCCTGGAGCCTGCAGCACAGAGACGGTGGAGAGTGAGAGCCTGGAGTGCTCAGGGCTGGGATGGGGGAAGCCCACCTGCAGGCGCCCCAAGCCAGGGCCAGTGCCAGGGGAAGGTGGAGCGGGAGGGCCAGGGACGGCTTCCCAAAGGAGTGGGTATTTGAGATCAAATCCGAAGGCTACTAATATAATCATCAATTCTTACCATCATCTCAGCATAAGACGTGTTTTTGGTTTGTGGGACTCCTAGAACCAGAGAAGTTGACTTAGGGTCACAAGCAGTCACTGAGGGCCACTCTGTGTCCTGCCCTGTGAGAGGCGATGGGCGCACCATGGTAACCCAGATGGCCGTGGGCCCTGCCCTCAGAAGCCCTGGTGGGTGAGGATGTAGATATTAAACAAAATGCTGCAGAAACAAATGTATGCTACACGTTTTGCAAACCCAGGGAGCGATGAGGGAGATGAAGGGGACGGAGCGGTCCCACCTTCCAAGGGGCATTGGAGAAGGCTTCTCTGAAGAGTTGGCTTTACATCCAGATGTAGTTCAGTGAGGTTCAGAGGGAAGGGCACTCAAGAGAGAGGGAACAGCATGTGCAAGGGTCCTGAGGCAGCAGTCTGTCCTGCCTGCAGATCACAGGCAGGCAGCACCTTGGGGGACTGAGTGAAGGGAAAGACACAGGTCAGGCTGAAGGCAGCAGGGGCCTCACTGTGTAGGACTTTGAAAGCCCACAGACAGCAGAGTGGACTTTACTCTAAAGGCTGGGGGAACCCGCGGGGGGTTTTCGAGCAGGGAGAGGGGGTGATGATATGATGGACATTTTTAATAGACCCACCTTTGCGTGGGCATCCTTGGTAGCTCGGTTCGTTGCTTCAACCCTGGGGCCTGGAAACAAGGCCTCGCACATGGAGTGGGGTATTATAACCAGGGGTCCATCACCCGGCTCCCCCCTCACCGTGCCGGGCCACCTTGGTGCATCAATACCGTAAAAGCTAAGTTGCTGTAACAAAGAGGCTCGAAATACCACGAATTAAAGACGACCGAAGGGTCTGAGGTGAGCAGTCCAGGCGGGTGGGGCAGCCCCCGGGTGTCGTCCTGGTTTTCTCGTGGATGAAACAGAGTTGTCACACATCCATCTGCCAGGTCATGGGGAGAAGGGGAAAGAGACCAAGTCCAGGGGAGCCGTTGCCAAAGGAGCCAGCGAGCATTGCCCCCATCACTTCGCTCTTTTCCGCTGGGAACCCGGCCTGGACGTGGCCACACCTAATATCAGGAGGGAGGCGTCGGGGGCAGCGCTGGGATAAGGTGGCCTGCAGCTGGCCAGCTCTGCGCCCCAGTTCTTTCATGGAAGGGGGGAAGGATGGATCGTGCTGCGCAACCGGCTGCCTGAGCCTCTCAGCCTTAGCTCCCTCGTCTGTAAAACGGACGGAATGGGATGTCCCCCAGAGGGAGCTTGGGGAGGTGAATGAAGGAATAACCATGCGGTTCCTAAGCAATGAGTTGATGACAGGCAGCTTAGGAAATCAAGGATCACCATCTTGTCGTGACTTGATCCACCAACCGATAGAAAGATTCCGCTGTAAGTCCCGCTGGGGCGCACACCGCAGTGGTCCTCGTTGCAGAGATGTGCAAACCGAGGCTCGGCGACGAGGGCCCTCGGGGTCCCCCGGGGCCTGCCTGACTCTCTCCCGCCACCCCCAGAGCTGTCCTGGTTCCAGACGGTCGGGGAGTCGGCGCTGGGCGTGGAGTCTTTCTCCTACCAGGGGGAGCCCCACATGGTCCTGGCACAGCCCTTTGCCGGCCGCTGCTTGATCCTGGCCTGGGACTACAGCCTGCAGCGCTTCCGGCCCGAGGAAGAGCTGTCCGGTGAGCGCCCCGCCTCCGTCCTCATCCTCCCCGCGCCCCACAGCCGCCTGGTGGGCCTGCCCTGCTGGCGGCCTAACCCGGGGCCTGCTCCCCGACGCCCCCACAGCGCCCTCCGTGGTGTCCTGCAAGCCGCTGGTCCTGGGCCCGCGCCTCTTCGTGCTGGCCGCCCGCCTGTGGGGGGGCTCCCAGCTGTGGGCCCGGCCCGGCCCCGGCCTACGCCTGGCGCCCACTCAGGCCCTGGCCCCGCGGCGGCTGCTGCGGCCCAATGACGCCGAGCTCCTGTGGCTGGACGGGCAGCCCTGCTTCGTGGTGGCCGACGCCTCCAAGGCGGGCAGCACCACGCTGCTGTGCCAGGACGGGCCCGGCTTCTACCCCCGCCAGAGCCTGCACGCCTGGCACCGGGACACGGACGCTGAGGCCCTGGAGCTGGACGGCCGGCCGCACCTGCTGCTGGCCTCCGCCTCGCAGCGGCCCGTGCTCTTCCACTGGCTCGGGGGCCGCTTCGAGAGGCGCACGGACATCCCCGAGGCCGAGGACGTCTATGCCACACGCCACTTCCAGGCTGGCGGGGACGTGTTCCTGTGCCTGACGCGCTACATCGGGGACTCCATGGTGAGGCTGGGCCTGCTCGGGGTGGGGGCCAAGCCGAATCCCCCCGGGGGTGGCTTTTCAGCGACGGCCACCTGATGTGGACTGGTCTTCCGGCACTGACCCCGCCTTGCACGCAAGCCTTCAAACTCAAACTCTGACCTGACCTTCGAACTCTGACCCCACCTAGTGTACTGATCCTTGACATCTGGCCACCCCAACACCGACTCCAAGACCACTATGACTCCTCAAGGCTGGCTGACCATAAGCCACTTCCTACCCCCAACCCTGACACTGGTCCCTAACCCCAGCTCTGTAACAATGACGCACTCTAAGACTTACATTTGGCCACAACCACCACACGCTGGACCCCCCAAGGCTGAGGGCCCCCCCCCCCCAGCATTCCCCTTCTGGGGTGAGGAACGGCCAAGTGGAGCGCTCTGGGCCTACAGGCTGAGTCAGGCGTTCACAGGACACGTATGTAGGGAGCAGACTGTGGGTGCAGGGATGGGAGCGGAGAGCCCAGGGAAGAGCCTGCCGTCACGGAGGGAGGTGACTGTGGCGGGGCGGAGTGCGGCCAGAGGAGACGGAGAAATAGACACCCTCATAGGAAAAACCGACGGATTCTATGTGGGGTGCGAGGGAGAGCGAGGGAGAGGCCAAGAACGACCTCGAGTCTGGGGCCTGGGCAGCTGGGCGGTGACAGGTGTGAAGGTAAGAAAGCTGTGGGAGTTTAGGGACCTCCAGGCCGTTGCAGGTGCTCTGAAGCCCCGAGGACACGGGCAGACCTGGGCCTCCTGGAGCCCAGGCCCTAACCAGCGGCCACACTTCACAGGTCATGCGCTGGGACGGCTCCATGTTCCGCCTGCTGCAGCAACTTCCCTCGCGAGGTGCCCACGTCTTCCAGCCCCTGCTCATCGCCAGGGACCAGCTGGCCATCCTGGGCAGCGACTTCGCCTTCAGCCAGGTCTTCCGCCTGGAGCCTGACAAGGGGCTCCTGGAGCCACTGCAGGAGCTGGGGCCCCCAGCCTTGGTGGCCCCTCGCGCCTTTGCTCACGTCACCATGGCCGGCAGACGCTTCCTCTTCGCCGCTTGCTTCAAGGGCCCCACGCAGATCTACCAGCATCACGAGTTAGACCTGAGCGCCTGAGACCCGCGGGGACCTTGGGCATGGCCCGGAGGGAAGGGGCACCGGCGGCGGCAGTCCCAGGCCTCTGGACACCCCCCTGGACCGGCCTCCTGGCCCTCCTCGGGGTGCCGGTGCCTGCGAGGTCCTGACCACAGGCCAAGTTCAAGGCGAGAGCTGGCCCTCCGGTCTGACGCCACGTCTCTAAGGATGACGTGGGGGCTCGGGCCGGGGCGCTGCAAGGAGCCGGGGTACAGAGGCCGCGCCGGGGGTGACGTGCAGAGCCCCACGAGGTCCGGAACTCCCCGTCCCGCCCGCACCCACCCTCCCCGCTCCCGGGGAAAGGGCCGAGGAGCCGCCAGCCGTCCCCTCCCCCTGAGCGCAGTCCGGCCAATCGCTTTTAGCGCCCGCCTCCGTGACGTCATCAGTCGCTGGGCGGGGTTCCCCGCCGGGCTTGCTAAGGTCCTCTGCTGCTGTGCGCATTGCCCGCTGCCGAGGCGGAAGCCCAGCGTGTGGGCCCTTTGCGCGTGCGCGGGGGAACAGGTGGGCAAGCGGGAGCTGCCCGTCTCCGCCGAGGGGCGGGGCTGAGGACCGGAAGTGTATGAGCTCAATAAACGCGCTGTGCACCTGCCGCGCTCGTGGGTGGGGATACTTGGGAGACGGTGTTTCCTGAGTGGCGTGGGCGGGGGCGGGAGTGCTGTCCCAGGAGCTGTATTATGGGGGGTGGAGGGGTCCCGGGGGTGCATCTTGGCTGCCCTGGTGCGCATTCGCTTGCCCCATGAGTGTGAGCTCATGGTTGGGGGGGGGGGTCATGGGATGTTCAAGGGATTCTAGGGCCTTATTAGGGGACAAGTCGCTGGATTATTGTGGGTCTCTTCTTGGGGTCCTGTCTCAGGGCATTGTAGGAGATCATTTTGGGTGTTTTAAAGGGTTTAAGGCATTTCATAGGGTGGCCCTCGGGGGCATCTTGGAGATCTTCCTGGGCATCGGGGGGTTTCAGAGGAGTCTGTGGCTCCTTGGGGGTTCTCACACCATATGGCCACTATACATTACTAGGAGTGCCGTGGGGCATTATTTAAAGGCCTCACGGGGACAGCTGGGTATTAGGAAGGGTTTTCTATAATAAAGTGGGGTCTCGGGGGTGGGTAGGAGGGTCATGCGGTCTTACTATTAAAATCATAAGCTGTCTGACTACTCATATCATAGTAGGAACATCCACATCTTTGTTTTCCTGGGATGGTCTCAGTGTCCCCTTGAACGTCCCAGCAGTGCATCTGGTTAGAGCTCTCTTTCACCCCCCAAAGTGTCCCCCATTTGGCTACTAGAAAAATCTTAAATTGTGCTTGTGGTTCCCCTAGCCTTGGAGGCGGAGGGTGGGCCGCATGCCACTCAGCAGGTCTTGGGCTTTTCCCAACAAGGAGATTCAGCTTCCAGCTTCTGCACCAGCTGCCAGTGTGCATCCACCTTCCAGTCCTCAAAAGCCCACCCCCGTGTACACATAGGGAGTCTTGAGGCTCTTTGGACAGGAGGCGAGATCAATTTTAAGAATACAAATTGAGCAAAAAGACCCCTCCAGAGAGAGGTAAGATGAAGCCCTGGCAAGGTGGTCTGAGGCAAGGAAGGAGAATTCTATCCTGGTGTCCGGGCTCCTGTGCAGAGCTAGGACTTGAGGCAAGAGAAGGGACCTCTATGTCCTTTTGGGTGATGCATCCTCAGCAGTTCTGGGCAGAGCCTGGGAGAGATGATGGGTCCGCTTGTGAGAGCAGATGGAGTTTTTTCCCCCAGGCACGTGCGCACACGAGCATGCACGCTCCCACGCGCCCACCCCTCCCATCCTGTGTTCCCTGCACGCCCATTCTGTTCCTGTCTTACCTGGAGTGATGAGAGGTGGGGCGTCCCCCGGATGGTGGCTAGGGAAAGAAAAGTGGTGAGATCTGTATCCACCCACCTGTCCTCTCCCTCAAGCCTAGAGGATTCTCAGCTTGCCCCGACATAGCTTCCTGGCTATTTTTCCTGGAATGGGAGCAAAGCTTTTCAGGATTCAGGGCCCTCTGAAGACTATCAGCTCTGAAGAATAAACCTGGGAAATCTTAGTGGCGGGAATTCTCCAGGGCAGAGCTGGGAGGCCTCTTTCTGCAAGATTTAGCTCTTTTCACCGGTGAAATGTGTTCACTGCTTAGTGTGAAGCGGGCACGCAGGGAACCCATCTTACCTGGGCTTCTGGCTGAACTTGCATTTGCATTTCCCACCTGTTGGGGGAGAAGGAACGGTTGGGGGGAGGGGACCCACAGCCCTGCCCTGCCAGCTCAGCCACCAGGGTCCCCACTCACTCAAGAGGACAATGATGCCGATGGTGCACAGAACCGCGGCACAGATGAGCCCACCGATCCGGAGCCTCTGCCAGTCTAGGAGAAACCCAGAGGAGGCGATCGATGCCTGCCTGTGTCCTCCCCAGCCCAACCTCCCTCCATTCGACAGGTAGGTATTGGGCGCCTTATGACGGGCAGGGAGCTGGGGACACGGAGCCGAGAGGACAGCAGCCCCCCAGCCCTCCCTTTACCCAACAAACAAGCGATAAGAGATTTAATGGAAGGTCAGGTGGAGATAAGCTTATCTGCCTGAAGACAAATAAGCAGAGCCAGGGAACAAAAAGTCAGAGGGCAGCTCTTTTAGGGAGGGTGGTCAGGGAAGGCCTCTCTGGGCAGGGACCCGAGGAGGCAAGGCAGGGGGCCATGGCAGAGGGATCACAAAGGTCTGGAGGCTTGGAGTGTGTCTGCTGTGTCTGAGCAACAGCAGGGAGGCCACCCAGGTGGTTGTCGCAAGGCGAGCCTCCTCCCAGCAGTGGATTTGAACCCTAACAACGGCTCCTTGTGAACCGCCTGGCTTCCTGTGTGCGTCTCTCCTGCTGGAAGGGAACCTTCCCAAGGACCAGAGTGGCAGGGCTCGTTCCTTTTATTATTGTCGACAGTTCAGTGCCCGCCCCCATCCCTGCCTCTTCCTATCCTCACCCCTGTTTCACGCACATCAGACCCCTGCCCGACCTGTGGGGGCCCCTTGGCACAAAGTGGGCTGTGGGGAGGGGGGTAGTGGCTGGGAGACAGCGGCACTAATTCTCACCATAGTAGAAAGGACTGTCTTTATCTGCAAGGAAAGAAAAAAAAAGAACATGAATCCAGGACAACAGCCAGGAGGGCAGGGGCACGGGGGAGAATTTGGGGGCGAGCCTGGTAGAGGCGTCCGACTCACCTTCTGGGTCATTGGCCTCCAGGGCAGGCAGGCCTGTTGGGAGAAGCAGGAAGGAGAGGGGATGGCCATGCTGGCCCCAGCAACGCCAGCAGGCAGGGCCGCAGGGCCTCGGGGGCCTTGAGAGAGGGTCCCCTGGTGGACAGTCACCCCCCACACACACCTGCTGAGGGCACAGGGGTCTGGCCCCAACCCCGGAGATGTGGACTTCCCCCCAACCCCACCCCTGTGAGCCCCGCCCGAATGCTGCCTCCCTAAATCGGTTTTACTCGGGGTGTCTTTGGACCACCCCTCCACCTGGTGCTTCCAGACACCTGGCTAACCCTGCCTCCTGCAGAAACGGAGCAACATTCTTGTCACGCCGACAGATGGTACCGGTTCCCATCTCAGAGCCTCGTCCACACCGCACCTGTTCTGGTGTGTGCTCACCACTTCCTTTTAGAGCGAATTACTAATTATAAACCCAATACACTGTATTTAAAAGAAATGCAGCTTTCTATCACTACCCTGAATGGAATGCCAGTCTTGCCTAATGTAAGGGATAAAAAATACAATAAAAGCAAAGGACTAGGATTACATTCTGGCCAGAAGCAGCAGGCTACCTGAGCTCTGGCCCTAAGCTCTGTTCTTTTTGCCAAAGGGCCATTAATAAGTTTTAAATATATTTAAAGCACAAGCACATAGTGCTTACTCCGTACTAGGCCCCGTTCTAACCGCTTTTCACATACTAACTTGCATCATCCTCACGACGACAGCACTAAGTACGGACCAGTATTGTCCTTATTTTTACAGCTGGAGAAATTGAGGATTCCTGTAGCTGCTGCATCCACTAAGCTCCCAGTTACTTCTCCTAATAAGGTGCTGGGGAGGTGGTAAAGACACAGCACACAGGGCTGAGCCGTCCCATCAAGGAGGCCTCAAGACGGTGACTCTGCAGCACTGTGAGCCGCTGTCTCCGTGTGTACTTTGCAGCCACCGGTTCCCCCTCAAGGAGATGCTGTCCGGGTAGTCACCACCCCACAGGGGAGGCAGGAAGCACGACAGAGAAACACACAGACGCACACACACACACACACACACACACACAGGTGGGGCTTTGCCACCCCTCAGTGGAAGGGTTTGGGGAAAAGGCGGCCCGGGGCACAGGTGCTCACCTGCCAGGAAGATGAGCAGGCTCAGGACCACCTCTTGCATGTCAGCGAGCTGGCCTGGAGGGGTGGGGGGGGGGCGGTGGGGAGGGTCCAGCTTTAGCAGAGCCTCTGGTTCCCGATCCTCTCCTACTCTGCTCCCACCCAGGGTACACAGCTCGCCCCGGGGCAGAAAGGCTGGCACTAACCACCCCACCCCCGGCTGGAAGGTAAGAAGGAGCCGCAGAGTACAGGGGGGTGGGCGACGACGGAGACCTGGCAAGGAGCCGCAGTAATAACTCACTGGACACCGGTTTGGGGCTTTACGGGAATCGCCCTGGTGACCAAAAGAGGGAGGCGCTGTCTGCTGCTATCCCCATCTTACGGTTGGGGAAACTGAGGCCCTGAAAGGTTAAAATGGGTGCGCAGGGTCACCTTGCCAGGGAGCAGGATTTAAAGCAGCCTGGCTCTGCAGCCGCTGTTTGTCACTCAGGACTCTCAGGGCCTCGGGGTGTTTTGGGAAACGGGATATTGGGAGCCAGGTGGCAGGAGGCCCGGGTTCCCGGGTGTGTCTCCCAGAGACAGCTCGGAGCTTGCCCGCCCTGCCCGGGCTCTGCAGACCTTGGGCTGGGCCTCGGGTCGGGCCGGAGCTGGCTCCTTAGGCTGCTCAGAGCAGGATGTGCAGAGGAGAGCACTGGAGCCTGGGGTGGAGGTGGTGGAGGTGCGGGGGGGGGGGGGGGTCAGAGCAGGGAGGAGCCACCTGGCTGTAGCCCCAGCCCCATCTGTCTCCACAACCCTCGGAGCCCTGGGTCTGCGCTGCCCTGCCCTACCCTGCCCCTACCCTGCCCAGCTCCTGCCCCTGCCCCAGCCCCAGCCCCAGCCCTTACCCCAGTCCTTACCCGTGCCGGCGCCAGCTCCTGCCCCTGCCCCACTTCTGCCCCTGCCCCTGCCCCAGCTCCTGCCCCTGCCCAGCCCTTACCCCTGCCCCTGCCCCTGCCCCAGCTCCTGCCAAGCTCCTCCTGGCAGCCATTATTTCCTCTTTCCCCAGATAGGGCTGTGCAGCAAAAAGAATCCCTCCGTCCCTTTCCTGGTCTGGTATCAGCCCACCCTGCCCCCATCCTGAGTGCCTGAGATAAGCCCCATCTCTCTGTGCACGCCCCATGTCCTCTCCCTGCCCCCGCCCCAGCCCTTGCCCCTGCCCTGCCCCTGCTCCTACCCTAGCCCCTGCCCCAGCCCCTGCCCCAGCCCTTGCCCCTGCCTCTGCCCCAGCCCCAGCCCCGGCTCTGCCCTGCCCAGCCCCTGCCCCAGCCCCAGCCCAGCCCTGCCCCTGCTCCGCTGCCACAAGCATACACTGTCAAAATGCTGACAGCCAGAACTCGCCTGTCCTCCGACCCATCCTATGCTGGGCGTTGCCCAGCGACCTTGCTGTGTCTTCACCCATTGCACCCCCTGGCATCCCCGGAGGTGATCTGTCCCAGCCCTCATTTCACTGAGCCCTTGGACATTCCCTGCTCCATCCCCAGGATCCTCTCTACAGCTGAAGAGAACCACCCATCTCTCTCCGTACCCTCCACGTAACCCCCACCTCGAGTTTCTTTCTCCTTCCTGCCTATTCTCACACACTCTTCCCTGTCCCTGTGCCCACTCAGGTCCTGGCAATCCTCTCAGCGGTTAACCCCCTACAGTGGACTCAAATGCAACCATTTCTTGCAGGAAGGGGCCTGTAGCTTTGGGGAGCATTACTAAGGCATTTAGGGCCCCAGAGATTTGGGGAGAAGAGCTGGAGCGGGTGTGTGGGCAGGACAGCCTGGTGGCTCAGGGCGCAGGTCTGTAGGAGGACCACCTATCCTCTAAAGCTGCCTCGTGGGCACCTGGGGGGCTCAGTGGTTGAGCATCTGCCTTCAGCTCAGGTCATGATCTCAGGGTCCTGTGATCGAGTCCCACCTCGGGCTCCCTGAGAGAAGCCTGCTTCTCCCTCTGCCTGTGTCCCTGCCTCTCTCTGTGTTTCTCATGAATAAAAAAATAAAGTCCTTAAAAAATAAATAATACATAAAGCTACCTCATGAGGCTTTGTCACCCGAGAGGATGCCTCCGTAGTGAGAGCTAGGGCCTACTTGAGCGGTTACCCCATGCCAGGCACTGGTCTCAGCTCTTCACACTTACCCACTCATAGAATCTTCGCCACTCAATGATGTTGGCACCGTGGTCGCCCCACGTTGCTGCCACAGCCTCTTGACCCCGGCTCACTCAGCTTAGTGCTGTCTGCTTCACCCAGGGCCCAGAGTCCCAGCTCTGAAACCTCTTCCCATGGAATGCACCAAGTCCCCCCGGCTGTGAGGGCTCTGTTACTCCCCATCCCCAGGGCCTGTCCGGGCGTCCCCGGCACAGGGGAGACCTAGGGGTGATCTCAGCTGCACCTCAGCCCCAGGGCAAACTTTCTAGCCTGGCTCTCCTGTAGTGCAGGCTGCCCTCACCTTCCCTTCCCGGCCCAGGCTGCTGTTGGAAGGGGCCCTGAGCTGCTCCCGAAGGGACTGTAGTTGGTGTGAGGACTTGGAGAGGATGACAGCCTGCAGATGGGGGCTCTGCACACCCCTCTGGGCTCCCTCCCCGCCCTGCAGGTCCCAACACCAGTGCGATGGCCGGTTCCACCGTCTGCGCTCTGCTGGCCTCTCCGTGATGGTGGCCATCAAGCCCATGCAGAATGACTCCCCCATGTCCCTGGAATTTCCTACCCAACTCCCCACTTTATAGCTTCCCCAGGAAGCCACCATCCCCTTTCCTGAGAAGTATCCAGGACCCACACTCCTCAATCCCTAGACACCCCAAGTCCACCCTGCCGCCCACGCATCCACTCTGATACCCTCAATCTGGCCCTGATCCACCTGGATACCCCCGTCCACCCAGGCACCCCTCTCCAACGCTGTCCACCCAGATATGCCCAACCTAGATGCTTCTGGTCCACTCCGACACCCGCGATCCACCCAGGCACCCCGCTCCCACATGTGGACCTTACCCTCGTCCCAGCTCACTCACCCAGCCCCCTCAAGGCAGAATGATCAGGGTGGGGGGGACCCCGATCAGGCCAATGGAAGATGCTTTGTCTAATCTCCAGCCTCCTGCTCCTTGCACCCCCCCCCCGGAAAAATCCTTGCAAGGAGGAAGTTCTAGTTAGTGTCTTTAACAGAGATCAGTGGGAAAGCTGGAGTGGTTTGGGGGCAGAGCCAAGAGGGTGTTGGAGGGAGGGGACCCCAGCCGCTCACCTGTGTGGCTCCCCAGAAGGCTTGGAAAGTTCTGGGAGACAAGGGAGGGAATGCGGCTGCTAAGCCTGAGTCCTGCCTTTATCCGCACGCAGCTGCCACGCCCTAGGCAAACCTGGGCAGGTAGAGAACAAGTCGGACTCCCTAAAGCTCTGGGGCTCTCTCACCCCATTCCTGCTCTTAAAGAGACAGCTCCCACATCCTTCTTCCCAGCCAGGGTGCTCCCTGAGGTCCCCAAGGTCACAGCAGCCTCAGGTAGGCTGAGGGGGCATACGATGGGCCGGAATCTGCTCCTCACATCAGGAGAGGGGGCTTTCTTCAATGTCTCGCCCCTGTGGAAGGGACCTGGAAGGAAGAAGGTTGAGGTCTCCAACAGCAAAGCTTCTGTCTGGAAGAATGGTGGGGGGAAGGCGAGGCACTGGGGTGATAATCTCATGTCTGTCACTTAGATTGTGTGCTACACTTGGTCCAGGAGGGCTTGGTGGCAGTTTCAGGATATCTGAAGTCCCTTTCCAGATCGCCTGTTGCTTCCGACCCCTTGAGGGTCAGCAGAAGATGCTGATAGGACCAAGGTCATGAGGTGAGAGCAGGGGTGCACAAGGGCTAGGAGTGGAAGGGTGGGCGCCTTCGGGCTTTAGACCATGACCTCGCTCCCAAGTGCCCAACGTGCCCTGGAGAGATTGGGAACTGGTTTCTGAGCATCGGAAGACCTTCCTAGCTCGGGCTCTTCCCGAGGGTGCTGGGAGCCAGATGCCTGGGTCCAGGCCGAGGGCGTTGGGGTGGAGGCTGCCTCCCACTCCGGATAAGGCCATTGCGCAGCGGTGCAAGGCCCCCTCCCTCCCTCCCCCCTCCTGTCCCTCCTCCTCATGGCATTCCTTCTGGCTGGGGTCTGTGTAGGCCCCCACATGGTCCTCGTTGGGGTGCCCCCTCCCCCTAATTCTGCCTTTTTAGACAGAGGGACTTTTGTCTGGGGGCTGGATGGAGAACAAGGCGCCTTTGAGTGGCTGGCGGAGGATTGGGGTCATGGGGAGGGGCAGGGCCAGGAAAGGGGTGGCTCTGCACTGGCCACCAGCTGGACTCCAGGCGACCCCCAACACCATCTCGGGGGCGGGGAGGAGGGCTGGAGGAGCCAGGCCAGGGAGAGTGCGGAGTGCAGGATGGGGAAAGGGGGTTTCCGAGGTCAAGACTCTGCTGGGGGTTGTCTGCTGGGGGTTGTCCTTGGGGCCAGGGAGAAAGGACCCCCCCACTTCCTAGCTGGAAGGGCTGGGGAAGCAAGGAAGGCAAGCCCAGATACATGCTTTCTTTATGTGTCTCCCTCAGGCAGTTTTTCAATCCCAGGCCTTAGACTAGGACAAGGCCTCCCCGGCCCTGCTCCCATTAAGAAGTCCCTACAAGGAGTGGAGGGGGCACTTGGGGTGAGAGGCTCCATCAAAGTGGGAGGTTCAGGGGGAGACAGAAACAGTCAAGGGAGGCCTGGAGGGGATGATCCCAGTGCAGCTAAGGGGGTCTTTTGTCTCGGGGAAGACAGCCTCTCTTGCCCAGACTTTCAAGATGCAACGTCCCTGGGAAGACCCCCTAGGTGCTCTTGGGGGTTGGGTGGTGTCTCCCTCTGCTGGGAAGTGCAGGAACTGCAGGCATCAGGGAGAAGAGGCCTGCGCTCAGGGCGGGACTGTCCTTTACCTGGGCCCGCGTCTGCAAACTGAGATGCCAAGGGGGCCAGGCAAGGATTGTGAACGAGTGCAGCAGGACGGGCACGAGACCACAGGGCGCGCTGGCAGCTGGGCAAACGGGAGAACTATTGTCCTGTTTAAAAGGCAGCCGCCCATGGGATCCCTGGGTGGCTCAGGGGTTGAGCGCCTGCCTTCAGCGCAGGGCGTGATCCTGGAGTTCCCAGGATCCAGTCCCACAACGGGCTCCCTGCATGGAGCCTGCTTCTCCCTCTGCCCCGCCCCCCTCTCTCATGAATAAATAAATAAAATCTTAAAAAAAAAAAAAAGGCAGCCACCCAAACGACTGGAACAAGCTCGGTGCACAGAGAGGACATCTCGCTACTATGGGCGCAGAAAAGAGCAAGATATATAGGAGTATGCTACCTTTGGGGGGCGTGGAGAATGTATTTGCATACACTTGTTCATGAATGAAATAACTCTGGTCAGTGAGAGGCTGGGGGGCTGGCACCAAAGGAGACGCCTCCCTCTTGTACCTTTTGAATTTTTATATTCTGAAAATGTCCTACTTCAAAATAAGTATAATTAAAAGACATAAAGGATAGTCTCCACACCATCCCAGGCAATTGCTGTTATATTTTCAATTGATATTAGGAACCCGAATCTTTACACGGAATTCCCGATATGAAAAGTTGGTTCAGGGGCGCCTGGCTGGCTCGGTGGGTTGGAGCCTAGACTCTTGACCTCAGGGTGGTGGGTTTGAGCCCCACGCTGGATGTAGAGAAGACTTTAAGAAAAAAAAAGTTGAAATAATAAAATAAATAAAATAAAAAGTTGGCTAGACTTTTTTTTTTTTAATGTGTGGTTTAAAAAGTTATGCAAGTCCAACAAAATACCTCTAAGGACTGGTTTCAGCCTGCAGGACCAACTTCCGCCAACTTTGTTTCCTGAATCTTTCATCACAGTGGCCTTGCATTTAGATATACAGACATTTATGGGGCTTTTATTCAACCCAGGCCAACCGTAACAACCCCCCAGGGCTGGACCAGAATGTGCTTATATAACCACATGTGCGTCAGGCTGGGGATGGATGAACGTGCGCACACTGACACTCGGGGGAGGTTTGCAGGGAGTAGTGGGTGCAGCTGCTTGCATCCTACTGGTTGAATCTTGAGGTGTCTTCTAGGCCAATTTGACTTCAATCATATTTAAAATCTCTCTTTCTCTCTACATATATATATGATGTATGTATATATGATCTTTTATATGTAAATATGTTACATATATTATTATATTATATAGGTAATAAAGTCATTTGAAATATTTCCCCTTCATTTTGCTTTGACATCACTTGGCCCTGAGGAATCTGCCGAAGCTCACGATTAACTGTGATTTCTCAGTATCTTGGGAATTCTTGCAAAATGAGAAAAACCAAACCTACAGATAGCTTCTGGACGCGACAAAGTGTTCAGCAATGCCACGCTGAAGTACCAACGCAGAGCCATAGGGTGTCATGTATCACCGACTCTGCTCTATTAATTTGGGTTTTGCCATTTGCTTCTGATGTCCGGGAGGGGGGCCAAAACCCAACATGCCTCCTTTGGTTCGCAACGCGGTGCAAAAATGCACAGTTGCCGACATTTAAACATCGGGATGTTCCCAACTGTAATCTGTCTTTCCAGCTTCTCGTGGAAGACACAGCCTGATCCGACCTGCGCTTGGAGATTCCCACTTGGCAGCAGTGGCTGGAGGGGCAGGGCCATGTCCTGCCTAGTTTGAGGCTTCATGGGAGGGAATGGGAGACAGGGACACCCACCTCCCGCCTCACACCTGCATCTGCCTTCGGGGCCACGGTTACGGGGCAGACCCTGGACGGCCGCGGCCCAGGATGGATGGGGCATGGTTTACACAGGAAAGACCCCCGGCCTGTCATCCCGACTCTGCCCACAGCGACGGGGAAAGGCTCAGTTAAGGAAAAGCTTGGTCGTGTTTTGTGACCCCCTCCCAAAAAGGCATTGACAGCAACTGCCCGTGGAGAAGATCGAATCCTTCACAAGTGCCCACCTGCCCAAAGACAGGCAGGAGAAGATGTCTGAGAGGCAAGACACTCGGGGAAAAAAATAATAACTGGGACACAGATACATGGAGCAAAAGCAGATGAGGGAAAATAGTAAGAATCGATGGATCTTCATAAGGAGTATTTGAGTTCGTTGTACTCTTAAAATTTTTTTTTATTTATTCATTTGATAGAGAGAGTGCGAGAGAGCACAATCCAGGGAGAGAGGCCGAGGGAGAGGGAGACGCCCACTCCCCCCACTGCCCGAGCAGGGAGCCCGATGTGGGGCTCGACCCCAGGACCCCAGGATCATGACCGAGCCCAAGGCAGACGCTTCATCCGCTGAGCCACCCGGGCGCCCCTCGTTGTGCTCTCTATGTAACTTTCCCGGCATGACAAAAATTCAAGATCAAAGTTGGCGAAGATAAATAAAAATTCTTAAATTGAGGTTAACACCAAAGAGGCAACTGCAGGAGGAAAAAAAAAAGGCAAACGTAGGGGAAAAAAAGTAAATTCGGAATTGGATAAGTTGTTACAGGAGCAGAATTGAATTGGACTTTGAAAATTGTGTATTGAGGTATTTGGCACGTAGTACATATGAAATATTGTATGTGAAAAATAAATAAATTTCATATATGCTTCTTTCTTCAGAGATAAAAGCTCGCGTTCTTTATTCGCCCTCCCACGAGGTCTTCCTTTCCTTCGCTTCGGTGGGTTGCCTTGTCTGCGCCCCCCGGGTGCCCAGCCCTGCCCAGTGGGGTGGGGGTGTCCCCGGGGCTCTGAGGCTGGCCCTGGGGTTGACAGGCTCCCTCCTGGCTGCAGAGGCAGGGCCATGAGTCTGCAGATCCAAGAGCTTGGCCGGCACCCGTGGCCGTGGGGAGGCAGTGACCCAGCAGCTGCTGGCACCAGGGCCCCTGTCATCCTAGCATTTCCACTCTACCGCCCCCACCCCTCCGAGTCTAAGAAGGTGGGGCCGCACCCCTGCACGTCCCTGGGTCACCTACCAACCATGGCTGACTGTCTCACTCAGTTTCCAACCAACAATGCTCTACTCGGCTGCAGGTCTCACCTCCTGCGAGGCAGGCGTCGCTCTTCCCAGTGGGGGCAAGGGTGGCAAAGAGGGGCTGTCGCTTGGTCTCAAGGCACACGGTTCTCTCAGGGTCGAAGTTGGGGTGTCAAGCCAGGTCATCGGGCTCCATGCCTATGTGTATGCTTATGGGGGAGGGGGGTGACCAAAGGACAACAGGACCCTGCATAAATTTGAGGGTCCTGAGAACAGACAACAGGTTAGAAAAGAGGCTTAGACCACAAAGAATATTTCTAGAAGCAACCACATCTCCCCCACTGCCCCCACCCTGGCCTG